TCAGAGACCGTATTTAAGTTTACTTCCCAGAGCAAACGGGCCAATTCTTTATAAACGCAACCTGACGGTACAACCTCTTAATCATCATCTTACGTAGAATCTTACCTAAAATCAGTCTCCTCTACAGTCTGGCTCCCATTTTTATTGTTAACAAGTTTCACTTGTCTCATCAGTCCTTTTCCAGAACTGCAGGGCTGGATAAGGGAACTTGTTATCTTATTCATCTTCCATGGTTACATAAAAAGGGTAATTTCTTGAATCTTCTATTGTAGGTCAGTGACTTTTAACGCCTTTAAGTAGCCATTTTGCATCAAAATCACATTCGAGACCATGATCCGATCTTTATTGACAAAGATGATACCTCAATGCCAGTTTTTCTGGAGATTTCCTCTTACCACTTATTGTCTGTCTCATTCGCAATTATCTCAGTTATCAATAAAGCCTGCTTTCAGGATCCGAGGATTCCCTGCTTGCCTTCTGAGGAAATGCCTGAAAAGGTTCAGTTCTGTGGCTGATTCAAGGGATAAAACGAAAGATTTAACACCGGTGATGTAAAACCCAGCTTCAAGCTTTTGTCTGCCACGCAATCCTTGTCCTTCCTACCCTCTAGCTATTCACCCTGCATTTTGATGAATGACTGGAACAGTCTTCTGGCTCACCCTTCTAGTTTGTTCTGACATCCTGAACCCTGTTGCCTCCTATTTCCCAAACGAACTAGCAGCGATGACTTTTTGCTCCCTAGATTTCGGCCTCCAGCTTGACTGTCTCATTGGCTCCAGTTGGTCTCTCCTCCCACCGCAGCCCCAGCTGCCTACCCGCACCCCTGCTCTGGTGCCAGGACGCCCCCACACAGCTCTCTGCTGCCACCTGGTGGCCATGGTTTTCACATTCCACTGGGTCAACGAGGCATCTTCTGTCCTGTCTTCATATGCCCAGTGAGAAACTGTCTTGCGGTCACTGGGGAAGGTGGCAGGGGAGGTTGGGCCTTAGTTGTAAAGCATGAGATAAACTTTTTTTTTTAAATAAAAAGCCCTGGCATTGCCATATTTCCAAAGTGAGATTCATTTCCCCCAGCACTCTGAATCGAACTCTGAATTTAAATTGGAAATTGTTATTTTGACTTTCCAATCAAAGGTCATAAAAATGACAGGAAACTTCCAGTGGCCTTTTATTCAATTCAGTTCTCAATTCTTTTCTCTGTGGTCTGCTGTGTAGGTTTTGTATCTTCAGCTGCACCTTATAGTAACGATATATACATAATGACTTCAATGGTATTGTCTAATAGTGCCAGTAGGATTTTTGTTTGTTTGTTTGTTTCTTATCTTGAACTTCAAAACAAAAGCAAAGCTACACAGACATATATTGCCAAACTGTCTATACAGACAGTTATGTCCATCATGGGCACCCATTTCTAATATTCATAATATTATTCATAATATTTCTAATATTCATAATATTATTGCAAGTAATGGCAGCTCCCTCCCCACCCATGAACAGGCCCAAATTGGGAACCTCATTTAAAAAATGGCTTGAGAATAGCAGATAAATAACCCGACATGTAATAAACAGGTCACAAAATAATCCAAAGATAACCCAAAATGAACTCAAACCAGCACTGAAAGAGAAGCTTTTAAGTATGGACACCTTCAGAATAAGTTTGCAGATACTTCATCCAATTCTGACATAATAAGCTTATTTGAAAAATCAGAATGTAGTACACCTGAAACCTATGTTACAGACCAATGTTACTCCACTAAAATAAGTAGTTTTAAATTAGAATTTCAAAATGGTTTTACTACCTCCATTGGAGCAAATCAGAACTAGGACCACCCTCCCTGGGTGGTCTATGAACCTTACCTGCATAGGGAAAAAAGCACAGGAAAGTATTAAAGACAATTTTTCCACTGAAATCTTTGGGTACATGAGTTTCATCTAGTTTCAACCCAAATCTATACTTCGGTGTTCTCAGAAAAGGGGGACTCCTTCTTCCAGGATATTAAGACATTTGACAAAGTTGAAACTTTTTTATTGTGCTTCTACCATCGAGTGGAAAGAGGCCAGGGGCACCGCTGTTAACCCCATAATGCACAGAACAATCTCATGAGAAGGAACCAACCCAAAATGTGCTAATACCGTGGTTAAGGCAGTCCATGTTGAACAACTGTAAGTCATCTTTATGCAAAGTTGACTTTCTAAGGAGAAATTCCATATACTTGGGCCAAAAAAGGAAGATGAGAAAAGGTTTTTCTGCAGAATATGCTCTGACCTGTGATTTGATACATTCCCTCTGCAGCACGTTCCTTACCCAGGCCCCCAACATATTAGCCACTTCTTGCTCATCTGATCTGATCTATGATGTCCAGTAGACCAGGGCCTCCCTGGTGGTGCAGGGGTTAAAGTCTAAGTTCTATCAGGCTAGAGCCAGCTACTGCGGCATGAGCATGAGTTCAATCCTGGCCAGGGAGCTGACCCATCTGGCACAGCATACCTCTCCTGTCACGCCCGTTGCTCCCCTCAGCAGTGTATTTCAGTAGATCTGTCTGTTCTGTTTCCCTCTCTGTCTCTGGTGAATCCTGTCACCGCCCACACCTCTGGTCTATACCCCAGTTCTTGTATGCATAAATAAAAATAAATCTTAAAAAAAAAAAAAAGAGGGGCCTCCCTGGTGGTGCAAGGAGCACCGCACCATGAAGCAAGCTGAAGCCTCTGCAGCACGAGTTCGATCCCTGGTCGGCCAGGGAGCAGCCCACATGGCGCAGCAGACCTCTCCTATCTTGCCCGCTGCCCCCCTCAGCAGTGTATTTCAGTCAGTTTGCCTGTTCTGTTCCCCACTGTCTCTGGTGAATCCTCTCACCTCTGCCTGTACTCCAGCTCTTGTATGCATAAATAAATAAATCTTTTAAAAAAAAAAAGAGTGGACAGGTACCACGTTCTGTGTAATATCCAGTGGATTCAAGTCTCTGGAGTATATTGAGGTGGGAGAACCTTAAGTTTAAACTCAAGATTGAAATGTATACCTCTGTGCATTGCAGATTAATGCAAAATATTTATAATTCTCTTTCTCACTGGAGTGGAAAAGGAGGCACTTGGCAAATCAGTGGTTGGACAGATACCAGGTTGACAGAAGTTGTGTTAATCTGTTCTAGCAAAAATAGAGTATCTGGCAAAGCTGCCCTATAATAGCTAGTAGTTTTAGCTAAGTTTGGAGTAAATAATGTTATCATCCAGAATCTGACTTTTGCAAAAGCAAGATTAGTTTATTAAGATGGGGATATGCTACAAAAACCACCCTCCCTCACATCTTTAATTTTTTTCCATTCTTTTTCCATCCCCCTCCCAGAATGAAATTTTATCTCCTATCTTGGCTGAGGGGGGCAGTCATTTTGGAGACTTCCTTTACCCTTCTCCCACTCTCGTGGGTTCAACAGTGTCTCCCTCCTCAAAATTCATAACCTTCCCGAAGTCTCAAAATATGACTTTATTTAGACATAGGGTCTTTATAGATGTGATCAAATTGGAGTATGCTGGACCCTAAATCCAAAATGATTCTTGTCCTTCGAAGCAGAAAAGAGACACCAAGATAGAGTCACAAGAAAGGTGGCCATATGACGAGAGCTGAGTTAAACAGCTACATAAGGAACTCCAAGGATTTGCAGCAGTTACCAGAGGCTAAGAAAGAGGCCTGGAACTAATTCTCTCCCTGAGCCTCAAGAAAGAATCAATCCTACCAATCTACTGACTTTGATTCTGACCTCCAAAAATGGGAGAGAATACATTTCTGCTATTTTTAGCTATCTACTTTGTGGTACTTTTTACAGCAACCCTAGTTCTTATCGCTGAGACCAACAAAACAATGTGGGGGTCATGCCAACCCCCATGCAGGTCTATTCCAATTATAGATGCAGGAATTAGAACTGTGCAGACCAGATGGGTCCACAGAGAAGTAGGCAGACTCACTATGAAATGGACCGAGGCCAGAATTTTAATTACTCCCTGACCCTCAAATGCCCCCACTCTGATAAAAGAGTCAAGAATGCTTTTCGTTTCTGAATCCAATAGACCTTGAAATGTCTGGGCATTACTCTTTAAGCATAGTTACTTAAGTTGATGGTCATAGAGCCCTTTGAAGAGGATGTTGTTATCTGTGAGCTCACTACTGCGTGGTTTTGCCTGCCATCAGCTCACAGCTGAGGAGGATAGGGAGGAAAAGGAACTCTCAAGTCTTGTTAGTGGGAACGTAAACTGGTACAACCATTATGGGAAACAGTAAGGAGAGCTCTCAAAAAACTAAGGCTAGAAATCCATATGATCCAGTTATCCCATTCTGGGTATTTACCCCAAAAATATAAAAACACTAATCAAGGAGATAAATATTCACTAAAACATTATTTGCAATAGCCCAGACAGGGAAATAACCTAACTGCCCATCAACAGATGTGTGAATGAAGAAGACATGTACCATTACACAAGGGAATACTACTCAGCTATTAAAAAAAAAAGTGAGAGTTTGTTATTTGCAACAACATGGATGGCCCTAGAGGGTATGAAGCTAAGTGAAATAATATTAAAGACAAATGCAACATGATTGCATTCATATGTAGAAAGAAAGAAACAAGAGGAACAAACCAAACCAAACCAAACTCTAAAGAACAAAAGGGTGTTTGCCAGGGGAGAAAGGGAAAGGAAGGTGAGTAAACTGGGTAAAGGGAATCAACTATATGGTAGGGGGTGGAAGTTACCCTTCTGGAGGTGATCATGATGTGAGACAGACATACATCTAATTATAATGTCATACACCTAAAACCTATGTAATGTTTTAAACCAACGTGATTTCAATAAAACAATTTTAAAAATAAGTGCATTTAAAATCTTGCCTAAGTGTTTAAGAGTATCAAATTTACTCAAAAAAATTCTAAGGAAACTGATAAACATAGTGTTAAACTTTTAATCTGTTAATGCAATAAAATGTAAGTGAAAGAATATTTTCACAAGGTAGAGATTAAAAAATCTATAAGAATGCCAAATTTAAATTTAAAATATGAAGGTGAATTAAAACATTGTCAATGTTCCTTCTTCACTTGAAAACTCCCCTCAGATACTTGAAATAATTACAATTTTAGTGCCAGGATTTTTTCATTTTTAATGAGTCACTCATTATTCATTTATCTGTATTAAATAACAAAGAATCCATTTCAATATACAAAATGAAGGGTTGTCGTCAATTTTCAATTGTTAAAGCATATTACTAATAATATAGTCATATTTATTTTTCTTAAAGGATATCATTGATATTTACTTATAGGTAACATGTTAGAAATAAAAAATAAGTAAACTTTTACCTTATAAGAATAGCTGATATAAAAATTATTCACCTGAGAATAAATTCTTTCATTGTATGTAATATGTTATTTTAGGAAAGAAAATGAAAACTCAATGTTAGTATTATTAAAAATACATTAAGGATAAGCATTTCTATTTTTCAAAAATTAATGCCTATTTATGTGCTACATGAAAGTAAGTATGACAAATTCAGAGTACAATCAGAATGAAATGTGCCCATCACAAACCAGTAACAACATTTCACCTAAATAGAATTGTGCTCCAATATTTTTTTGTTAGGACCATTAGCAAAGCATTTGTTATATTATATTATAGTTATTTAAGTATCTACATGCCTCCTAATACAGTAAGATGCGAAACTGATAATCTTTCTATCCAAAGAATCCACTGCTTGAAACAGCCATTAACTGTTGAATTAACTTACTATAAAAAGTTAAATGGTTAAAATCATTATCTGTATCTGTTTAAAAGAAAATAATGTTTTTAATGAAAACCTATAATCTTTTACTGAGCTCTGGAAAAAAATGTTAAGAGCCCACAAAGTGAAATGTAAAGTCCACTCATCATAAAGTTTTTCATTTTTTGTTTTTGCTTGGCTCCTAATCACTGCAGACAGGTTTGCTTTATTAGTCAGGAACCACAGTCACTCGGTAAAGTCTGGTCTTTTAACATTTGAATGTGAATGAAAAATGTAAGTTGTTTTTTCAACTTTTGCCTTACATTTATTTGTAATGCTATAGAAAGTTTTGACATGTGTAATTTAAGACATTTTGAAATAAGGTAATATGTATTTAAAACCATGAACTATATACTGTAAATAAACTTCACATTTGACTTCCTGTCTCCTTTTCTTCCCACCTCACTTTCCACTGCTTTCCTAAGTGTTTAGTTAAATTATACTTCTGAATAGGAAATTTTTTTTATTACTGTGAATAAGGAAACAGAACATTCCTACAAATAAATTATAACATATTCAGTCTCAGTATGTAAGAACTAAAAAAATTAACGAAACTTTCCTTATTGTCCTAAGAGCACAATAATTGCAAAGTAACTGAATGACCAACATAGATTAAAAGTATTTTGACTAGTCAGTATAATCTCAGCTTTAAAGAAAAAGAAAATTTACTTTGCATTGATCACACATTCACAGATCTAAAGTGAAGGAGACCCAATGGCAGATTACGTTCTATGTCAGTCACACTCTAGTCTAAAGTAACACAAATCTTCCTTGGTCTGGTGGAGTTCTAAAAATCTACCTTTCCAGTGCCTGCCCTAGTAAACTACAGATACTTAGGTTTCTTACGCTGAGGTCAAGTGTTTAAGGTAATAGAGAGCTTCAAAAACACAACCCAAAAGAGAAGCCCAAGGTATCTATTTGAGTATTGGATACTAAGAGATGTCTAAACTTATGGCACCATTTAGTAATGATTTGCTTAGAAAATGCGGTGTGCCCTTTATTAATTTATCTGTAAAGGTAAAGATTTTCTTTCAAATGCATCTTGAATGGTATTTCTCATGCTCTACTAAAGTTTAGTAAAAGTTGTAACTTTTCTTAAAGATGTAAAAGTGAGGTTCTCAAGGGAAGAATCTCAAAGTTTTGCAATATGAGGCTGTGACCTGATAATTCAAGATTAAAATGAAATCTTACAAGAATAATTTAGCTGTGGTTATAAAATCCAAGCAGAGATTGTATGACAGCTCATTTAGATTAGTTAGAAGACCTCTCAAACAGCTGGTAAAGCAGGTATCTTTTAGCAATGTCTATGGCAGTAGCCAAAGCAAGGGAAGGAAATGACATCATACACCTTGTCCTGAGACTGAGAAAGGAACACTATTTTAAACCAACTGCTAGAACCTAAAATTACAGATGTCTTTTTACACAGTAGAGCTAGGAGCTCACTAAGTATTAGCTATGTAAATAATAACTTCATAATTAAAAGGTCATTAAATTAACTCAGTACCAAATCCTTCTGTTGTTCTGTAAGACTCTTGGTAATGCAATAATCACACTTTCAATTTACTTGTTTTTGAAGAGTCAATATTTTGACTTAGCTTGTTGAAATATAATGTCAACTAGTATTATTTATACTATATTATGTCTATAGTCCATACCTGGGTTCTACAGAAGTATTTTTAAGAGTTCTAAGATTTCCTTAACCATAGTCTTACTTCGACTCTCTCACAGAGTGAAATTCTGGTTTCTTATTAAAGAGCATTCTGTATAGTTTTCTGTTGATCCTTAATTTACTCCCTCAAACTTCATTTATATCCCACCACATTCCAAAGTGAGTTTGAGGTGAGTTACTAAATAAATCTACACACTCATCTACTCAAAACTTTGTAGAGGAGAGAGATAATCAAATAAACTTTACCAATAAAAGTGATAACCAAAAAATTATTTTATTCTAGAGTAAAACAAAATGTGCCCTTCAGAACGAAGAGGGCAAAAAATTTATATCTTCCACAAAGGGTGGATAAGAAAGGAAGATCCTATCATTCTAGCTACAAAGAATCAGACTACTACATAGAGATTCCAGCCACAATCTTTCTTTAATTATAATAATTAAAACACTGCCAAATCTACTACAGGCAAAAGAAATATAACTCCAAATACCTAAGTCACCCATTTAACAGAACAAGGTCCTATTACACTTACTGAACTGATGAACATCTCCTATTGGACGTCACTTTCTACAAACCTCTATCTGCGCTGAGAGTTTATGCTTCAGCTTTTTAGAAAGCCAACTCGCACTCAAAGTTTCTTTCAGAAATTAAGAATGAGAAACAAGAAATTTTTAGTTTATGTTTCTTTTCTATCTGTTCTTTATGTATTCGGTACTTTTATTTAGATTGGGACAGTATGTAACAAGATGGTGTCAATGTAAAAATAAAGATAACTGCTCAAAATAATTCTACTATTACTTCCTTAAGCCATAAATTCAGGAGTATTGTTTCAGAAAGGTGAAAGAGTAAATATTCAACTTTACATACAGATTAGTTCAATATACTTCAGATACAACATGATGTTCCAATTAATTATACATAAGTTTTATTTAAAGAAAAGCAAAACACAAAACCACAGCATTTCAATTAAGGGAACTTAGGAAAATCCCAAGAGCTTTCATGGTTTCTCCAGTCACCACTCAAATAATAAACCTTTTAAACCAATGTTAAAATAAAGTGGAAAAAAGTCAATACGGTAAGCAAACTGAACAATATAAATTCAAAATACCACTCTGTCTCCCTGTGTTCTTCCCCACCAAAGTGTGCTGTTTAAAGTTCCACAACTATTGTCTTCTTCCTCTTGTTCTTTTGTGAGTTCTACAAAAACCTAAATGAAAATAAATAAATAGTTAGCGCAATCACCCAAATAATTTTTGACTCAATCAGAATATCAGTACAAGGCTATATCTAATTCCATTAACCTTCCAAGTATCAAAACATTCACTGCTATTAATTTACTGCTATCAGTAATAAGCAGAATAATCTCCATTACCATATACAAACATTAATGTTATATATGAGAATTCACAGACTGTTTTGGATTAATATATTTAAATAGTGCTCATAAAAGTAACAGGCCATGTAACTTCAGGTATGTTAATATAAAATACCATCTGTCATGGCCCATTTTTGTTATTAAACTGAAAATAACCGAGTTATTTGAATTAAGCAGGTGGGAAATCTAGTTTTAAAAAATTATATAAAACTTAGGGATATTCTGTAACAATTTGTGTTTGGTTCATAAATTCCCTCCCTTTCCAAGTAAACAAATAATCACATAGCAAACATTTTCTTCCACAGAAGAATTTTTTTAAAAAATCAATTCATAGTACCTGTTCCAGTGTTGCTTGAGAAAAGCTATATTCTTCAATGGCAAAAGTATGTTTAGCTATTAGAATATAAAAACAGTATTTTACTTATCAATATTTTTAAACAATAAAGTGACAATAACAACGAAATGGCAAATAACCTTTTTTTAATCTCTGTAACCAACTTGTTTAAATTTGAAGGTGCAAAAATAGGTTATTTTCCGCTCTCTTTACCCACCCTATAATTCCTCTATAGCGCTTACTACTATCTATTTAATATCATTGCCTTTTTTCTTTTTTTTTTCATTGCCTTTTTTCAGCCTTTCTGAGCATCTCCTCTTCCTTCCTCATCAATTGTCTTCCTCGTTACTTAGTGTTTTTTTTTCAAATTTCACGTTCTTTTGTATTTCACACTCATTCTTATCTCTATTTTCCACTCCTCAATTCTAATACAGCCTATTCTTCTGGAACTACATTTAAATGTTGTTCATAAGTCTACATGCTTTCTTATATTTATTTCAGATTCTTTTACAATCTTTTCTAATACCAAATTTATGGCTCTCTATTCCTTTAAATCTCCTGAAGTAATTCAGATGTTCTCTTTAATCATCAGAAAGTTACCAGGAAATATAGATTGTTTCTTAGTTTACAAATGCCATAATATACATGGAGATAATACTTCCTCCAGCCAGAAGCCTGCCTCTTTCTACTGCACAAGTATATCTTTATTCTACTTTTTACTCTAAAAATGCCATCATGAAATAAGCTTTTCTGAAGATTTTAGAAATGTCTCTCCTCCTGCTCTATGATTTCCTCACCTCTCTCCTGCTGCCTCTGGAGTGTGGCTGTGATTGCTACCTCTATAGCCCAATACAAAGCAAGGATTCACAAAACTCAATCTCCACTTCAGAACTGAGTAATTATGGCTAAGTTGAACTTTCTCAGAGATGCAATGTGAAAACTATAGTGACATCTACTAAAGACAGAAGGTTTAAACTATAACACTGTTTACCTACAGAACCTGTATCTTAGATGAATTATAGGTTATCTTCTTATTGCCATCATTTATTACAATACACTGAGTCCCAACTTTTAAATGAAATTCTTTTTTAATTTGAAAGTCACCTTACAATGTTTTTCAAACATGATTTACCTTCTTCCAGCTTAGAAAAAGATTGTGAAAGGGACTGAACATCTTCCTTAGGAATTTTGTAAGCCAAAATAGAAGAAAAACTGAAAACAAAAACAAAACATTGCACATTTTAAAAAATAATTACTCCTGTTTTCTAAACATAAAGTCCAAAAATTTTCAAGTTCAAAATTAAATTCTAATAATTTATCTTGAGATTTAGATAAAAATTCTTTATTTCAAAGCTTGAAATATTTTGATGTAAAATAAAATAGCTCTCTCATGACAAATAAGAATTTAAGACATTTTAAATACTATCCAATATCAAAATATCTAGCCCTTAGATACAAAACTGAATTTAAGATTAAAAATAAAAACTTCAGTCATCAGTCTATCTTATTGATTACACCGAGTTTTTTCCTAATCCTTAATATAATAACCAGTTTTTTATGATTATGGCTCTACAAAGAAATCTAAATTTTAAAAATCTTTACCTTTCTTGACGGCTTGCATTTGGGAAAATATACTGAATTTCTCTGTGAAGGCGGTCTATTTCTAGGTTTTCTATCCAGTCCTTTAATTTAATTTCCAAAAAATAGCCTTTTCCAAATTTACTCTTCAAATGTTGGACTGTCCCGATGCATCTACAGTCATTTTTTAAAGAGAGTTCACATATAAAATTACTTAACAGTGTCAAAGAATGATTTCTCACTTAAAGAAATGATTTAAATGTTTGTTGGAACACTTCCAAATTTACAGAAAAGTTACAAATGTAATACAGAGCATCTCCAGAAACCTCTGCCCAGTTTCGGTTTCAAACAATAGTAGTATCATTTCATCTTATTATCACCATGGCATATTTGTCCAAATTAAAAAATCAATACTGGTATCTTACTACTAACTTTCTTGGAATTTTACCAGTTGTTCTGCTAGTGTCTTTTTTTCTGTCCCAGGATCTATTCAGGACACCACACTGCAGTTACCATATATCCCTGGTCTCTCCTTAGTGTACCTGTGAGCTTCTTACTCTTTCTTTTTCACAACTTTGACTATTCTGAGAACTGGTCAGGCATTGAGGTAGAATGTTCCTCAATTTAGAGGATTCTGATGTTTTCTCATTTTTCAGAGTGGGGTTATAAGATTTTGGAGAAAACACCACAGAGATAAAGTACCTTGATTTAACACATATTTCAGGGGGCACATGACATTGTTTTGTTAAGGTTAAAGATACTATGTTCCCCTTCCCATACATTGGAAGAGACTTGCTAAATCCAAACAATCCTTGGGAGGTGGATTAAGCTTTCCCTCCTAGAGGGGGTAGTATCTACCTACATTGTTTAGAATCTTCCTATAAGGAAAATTTGTCTCTTTTCTCACATTTATTCAATGAATCATTTATTTAAATAAGTATGAATTCACATATATTTATTTTATATTTTGGATTATAATCCAATATAATGGCTAACAATATTTAAAAATAACAAATAACATGCCCCAAAATAACATTTCAAGTTGTTAAATAATTAATTCTAAATGCAAAGTAGCTAGCCATTTTAAAAAAAAAATAACGTATTTCCAGGTAATTTGATAAAAAACTGATTCAAAACTCAAAGGAGGAAATATTTTCTTAAACATTTAAATTAATTTGATCAGTTTTTGAAATGATGCCATTCAGACTAAATGCCCTCCTTCCCACCAGGGGCATTGTGGTTCAGACAGCCGCACCTCAACTGCCCAGACACCATGACAGCCACGCGGTCACAGACAGCCTCTGCCTCCTCCATGTAGTGAGTGGTAAGCACAGCAGCCCGCTTTTTGTTTTTAAATGCAGTTCGAATTGCTCGCCTGAAAAATATAAATGAAATAAAAAGAGAGGAAAGCATCTGAGTTTTAATGATAAAACCGGGTTTAAAAAAATTCAACTTTTAGTTAATTAGATTGAAATTTATCAAATATCAATTGCTCTAGTTATAGGCTGCTCAAATATGATTTTTTCCATTCTAACTTTTTCCTTTATTTTTGAAAGCTTGTCAAATGGACAGGAATTCTATTATTCTAAATGATTCTATGGGCAAAACTGAATTATAAAACTGAAGCCTTTTCATGTCAAAATAAAAGTAGCCATAGAAACATAGGGAAAACTTAACATGCATCTAAAACATTTAATAGGGCCTCCCTGGTGCCTCTGCAGTCACTGGAGCATGAGTTTGATCCTCAACCAGGGAGCTACCCACATGGCACAGCAGACCTCTCCTGACTCACCCACTGCTCCCCTCAGCGGTGTATTTCAGTCAGTCTGCCTGTTCTGTTCCCCACTCTGTCTCTGGTGAATCCTTTCATTCCCCACACCTCTGGCCTGTACCCCAGTTCTTGTATGCATAAATAATTTTAAAAAATAAAAAATAAAACATTTAATGGACATGCAAATCCATACTAGCTGGCACTATGAATTCCCAGAAAGAATTCTAACATAAATTCAAGATAATACTAGATACTATTATGAGAAAAGGAATTTATATGTTAAATCACCAGAAAACAGCTTTTAAAGCCAATTTAGCCAGCATTACTCAGTTTTGTTTTTTTTTAAAGATTTATTTATTTATTTATACAAGCACTGGGTACAATCAGAAAGCGCAGGAGGGTGAGAGAATTCACCAGAGCGAGAGTGGGGAGTAGAACAGGCAGACTGACAAAATACACTGCTGAGGGGAGCAGCGGGTGGCAGGAGAGGTCTGCATGCCACGTGGAACCCTCACCCAGTGGCTGGGGATCGAACCGGCGCTGCAGAGGCTGTGGGCAGCTTTGCAACCCAGCACTCAACTGCTGCGCCAGCGGGGAGGCCCCATTACTCACTTTTAATAATTATCTATATATTCATTTTTGTTCTGAAATACATTAAATTTCATTAATACCTTGAGAAAAATATAAAGTTTTAAAAAGTTTAAGGGAAAGTCTAGAAATTAAAATAATTAACTTTTAATTACTATTTTATTATTTGTGTAGGGTTTTAAATACACATGTATATATAACTAATGTAAAATCACTAGTCATAATAAAACATTCTTTTATTTAAAGTATGATACAGTATAAAAAGAGTCATGTCATACTCACCACATATGCTGTTTCGCTTTAGGATCCATACCTGTAGAGGGTTCATCTAGCAGAGTAACCTGAGGATTCCCCAGCATACTCAGAGCAAAACACAACTAGAAGGAAAGAAAACAGGAGGCAGGGTAACTACAAAGGACTCTCTATGAGGAACTCTACGGAGACAGTATGAGGAACTAAACTGTCAATAAAGCATTCATATATTTGTCATTTAAGAAAAGCACCTTTCGCTTGATTCCTGCAGGTAGTTTCTTTATAGTTTTCTGAAGATGTTCTTTTAAATCAAGTGCATTTGTTATTCTGCAAAATAACAAACAATAAAGATGAGTATACCATGATGCATAGAAATACATCTGTGTGAACATAAATTTTTTTTTAAAGAGCACTCAGTTGAAGCTTACTATAATTAGATCTCCAATTTGGATCATTTTAAATAAATTAATATACTGATGAAAAGCTTCACTTTAAACCTAAATTCGTTTGATGGCATTGCTAGGTACATTCATTCTTTAATTAGAAATAGAAAAATTGCCTTTTTTATATTTATAGTTACCATGATTTGGTAAAAAGCATATAAAAAAGCAACAATCATTTTCTATGAAAATTATGATCCATGGAAATGCCTGTTACAAATTTTGAAAATGTGAAATGTAAACCTTTTTTCTAGGTGAACAAAGGGTTCTAAAGTTTACCTATTTATGACTTCTTTCATGTCACTTGCACTCATTCCTTTCACAGCTCCATAAATTTCAAAATGTTCCTGCAATGTAATGTCTGGCCACAATGGATTTATCTGAGGACAGTATCCCATACACTTATTGGAATCATCACCATCCGTTGAGTTTGAAGAATAATCTCCTAGAAATACCTACAGAAATACAAACTAATTTTCAGTAATTATTTTTGCTTAATTTACACTGTGAGGGAAGTGGATTAATTCAAACTCATTACTAGAGCTGGGATAATATTGGGTCATAATTTTAGTCCTTTTGATAATGAAAGGAAAGGCCATACACAGCTACATCAGAGTTCAGTGACATAAGCAAAAACGGTGATTAGGAATGCAGGGTACATGGGAAGGTTAGTCTCAGTTTTAACTAGGATCATCAGAAGTCCTCACTGTTAGTTAATATTGCAGGTAGGGAGGTAAGCAAATTTGGCCATTTGGATTTCTATAGGGTAAGAAAGAGCCAACACAAGAAATAGCTAAGGCAAAAACCCAGAGAAAAGAGTGTGCCTGACATTTCCCGAGAAAGCAAGGAGCCCGGGTGGTTGGTGTGAAGTGAACAAGGGAGAAAGGCGCAGGAGACAGGATCAGAGCAGTTTTGGGAAGTTCCTACAAACTGGTGAGTGATATGCTTAGAATCAAAGACAATTTAATGGCAGGGTCAAGATTAGTTTTTTTATCTCTGGTAGTTCAGACAATTGCCTTCCATTATGTTGGTTGAAAATATCCATAAATGTAATAATTATAAAAACAAAAATACTGTCTATGCGTGTGTCTATATGAAATTTTTACTAAGTACATCATCTTCACAGATAACCAAAAAGATCAAAATTTGATCAAGTTATCCTAAAACTTAACAATAAAAACACATAAAACCAAAGCACTAAATTCCTAACATGCCTCAACAAACTTATTTTAATAAAAAATGTAAATCATAGTGAACATATCCCACATCCTTGTTCATCATACCTGGCCTGAAGTTGGTTCAATATCACCAACCAGAAGGTTAATAATTGTGCTTTTGCCTGCACCATTTGGACCCAAAAGTCCCAAGATCTCTCCTAAAGGAATTGAAAGAAAAATCATCACACACAAACCATACTAAGAATGGAAATTAGTCTTTTGGAAATTAAAAAAAGAAAGAATTAAACACCAGCCTTTTTTCACACAGAAAGAGACGTATTTAGTTGCCACTTTCTTTACTTTTCTTGTAAGAAGAAAATCTTTCTTGTCATCATATTCCTTATGCAAATTGCTGACCATAATGGCTGGTTTCTAATAAGGGAAACAGGATTGAAAAAGATATTTATAAATTAGAAACCAGCATGAAATGGCAGACTGCATATAGCTTGTGTCCGCAACACAAGAATTAATTTACTGATAAGGGGTACTGTATAAATAAATATCCATTTATGCCTGAAACAATGGCTTATTCTAAAGTGGACCAAAATATCTTATCAAAGACAAACTTGTTTTCAGATTGACTCGTATGGAAAGAAAACTATTTTTCCAGATTAACTCTCATGAGTGGGGAACTGGTCACTGCTCATCTAGTATGAATTAGCAATGCAAACGACATCACCTCCTCACAATACTGGCAGCTCATCAGCTCTTTGACCTTCAGTCTTTCAGCTTTGACATCTTCATCTTCGTCCTCAGTGACTGGTGGTTCTGGAAACTTCCTAATTTTGGGCTTTGCTGAAAAGATCCTACAAATAAAAACACAGTAGATTTTCTAACTTTATTTTTTTTTAAAGAAATGAGCTTTATCTTTTTAAGATTTATTTATTCATGCATAGAAGAACCAGGGTACAGGCCAGATGTGTGGCAGGGTGAGAGGATTCACCAGAGACAGAGTGGGGAACAGATCAGGCAGACTGACTAAAATACATTGCTGAGGGGAGCAGCGGGCAGGACAGGAGAGGTCTGCTGCACCTTGTAGGTATCTCTGCAGCCGGCCGGGATCGAACCCGCACTGCAGAGGCTGAGGACAGCTTCACAGCACTACGCTCAACCGCCTGTGCCACCAGGGAAGCCCAGATTTTCTAACCTTAAATAGTAAAAAATTCAAGTACTACATAGAGAAAAGACTGAAGTGTGTGTGTGTGTGTGTGTGTGTGTGTGTAGTCTTTGGTCATCTTTGAAAGAGGGAATTAAAGAGCTATTTTTCACTCACTGCTACCATTGGCATAATATTATCTACTTCTTTCATTTATTCAACAATATTATTTATGACCAGTATGTGTCAGGCACTATTTCACACAAAAATAGATGTGGGGGGTGGGGGGAGAATGGACCCTTCCTTCAAAGAATTTACAGCATGTGTACAAATGGGATTGCCCAGGCAGAGGAGATTTAGAGGGCTGAAGTCAGAACCTATCGGGACATCCCAAGAACAGCAAAGGAAAAGAACTTCCAAGGGAAGGTCTGAACTAACAGTAAGAGACTTAACAAGTGCTATGGACAGAGGATCAGATTAAGAAGATAGGGTATATCTCTCTAATAAAATATTATTCAGCCATTAGGAAAGATGAAGTATTGCCATTTACAGGAAAATGGAAGGCATTCAAGAGACCTTTGGGTGGTAAAGAGAGAATGAATTTATGTACTGGAGGATTTGATAAAAACAAAGTATTTATATAAAAACTAGAAGATACTAATAAAGTACGGATTTTGAGGTTAAGAGAGAGGTAAAGGATCTAAGTTGGTTGCTCAACTCTAAATGGTGGAGGAAAAAAAATGTGAGCTCAAAGAACTACTCTAGCCTAAAGAAAAGAAAAATCAACTACTACTGCCACAAGGCATGGAGACAAGGTCTTTATGCTCCCAGAGTGCTGTTCTGCCACTACAGTAGCTGTGAGGTCACAGAGGAGTATTATATGGCTAGTGTTTTTCTTTCAGTAGTACTTACCTATCCAAAAGCTACGGGAGAATACATTCCATATCACTAAACCAGTGATGTGAGCAAATGAGCACATTTCTAAAAACATAACTGATTTATGAACAAAGTAGTAAATAAAATACGAGAGGTAAAAAGGAAAGTAGGAATTGATGTTACAGAAAACAAAGGAAGTATAAGGAGAACGAAGTCCACCATGTGTGGTATATCCATACAATGTAATAATATTCAGCAAAAAAAAAAAAAAAAAAAGAAATGATGTACTCTTACATGCCAGAAGGAGGAGCAGATTGTACCATGCTAAAATATGCCTCTTTCACATATTTTGAGCTGGTTATTTAAAAAAAATAACAGACACAGGAAAAGTCTTTAAAAAATTAGAAATCACCCTATTATAAGAAACATATCTCCATTTTTAAGGGTGTCTCCCTCTCTGTATTAGAAAGAGCAAAAAGACTCTGAATCTCTTAAACTCTGATCAATGGAACAAGCAAAAACTTAATTCTACATAACTACCATACCCTTGGTTAATGTGCTTTTTCTAGTAATATACCATAACTGGCTGGACCCCAGCCCCAATATTTTTATTTTATCGTTAATTGAAGATAGGTAATAGCTTGGGCCATTTAAGGAAGTTACTCAGTTTATCCCGGTTATCTCCTAAATACGTAGGATGTATACACTTCTGACTGTTTTCTCCTGTTTATCTTTTATTATAAGGTATCTCAACCATGAATGTAGAAGGGTCAAGAGAAAATGATTTTTTCCTTCCCCATGTGGATGAGCCTTTAAAACACTGTGCTAAGGAAAAGAAGCCAAACAACAACAAAAAAGACCACAGGGCCTCCCCGGTGGTGCAAGGGGTTAAGACACAACCTATGAAGCTGGCTGCAGCCTCTGCAGCACGAGTTTGATCCCAGGCCAGCCAGGGAGCAACCCACATGGCGCAGCAGACCTCTCCTGACTCGCCTGCTGCTCCCCTCAGCAGTGTATTCCAGTCAGTCTGCCTGTTCTGTTCCCCGCTCTGTCTCTGGTGAATCCTCTCACCCCCCACACCTCTGGCCTGTATCCCAACTCTTGTATGCATAAATAAATAAATCTTTAAAAAAAAAAGACTACATATTACATAATTTCATTTATAGGAATGCTTGAAATTGGCAAATCTGTAGACAATGTAGATTTGTAGTATTTAGGGTGAGAAGGCATAGAAGGAGGATGGAGAAATAATTACTAATGGCTACAATTTTTTTTTTGGATTTGATGGAAGTGATCTAAAATTAGAATATACTGAATATAGACTATAGAATGGTTGCACCACTCTAAACATACCAGAAAACATTAAATTTGACAAATATTTTACTAACCTGAAAAAGGGATCCTTTCTTATTGACCTGCCTCCATGCTTTTTTTCATAGTACTGTAAGAGGAAAATCCATAGGACACACTGCAGGTACGGCTAAAAGAAGAACATGTAACAGTTTATTACTTAAATCTTTTTTCCATATACCAACAGAACAAAGAACACATACATCAGATTCCTTGACATTATCAGAAAAATTAATCACATTTTTTTCTCTAAGTCATATGAGTTAATAAATTTTAATAGAAGCCAAGGTAGATTTTTAGAAAAATAACCCTTCACGTATCATTCTACCGCTGTAAAGTTCACCAGTCAACAGTTTCATTAAAAACAACTGCAAGAAAATCTTTGCTTTTGCATCTAGGGAACTCAGACTTATAATAATCTTAATTAATAATATGAAAAGACAACAGTATATTAAAATAGACATATTCAATAAATGAAAAGGTATTACACCCAAAATGCTCATTAGCTTGCATTAACTATCATACTTGATGCGCCTTTTTTTTTTTGAAACAGAATAAAAACTAAAAAGAGAGCTAAAATCATACAACCAAACCTATGCCTAAGGTAACATGCTAACACACAAACATTGCTATTGCTTCTTACCGCTATAACCGCCACCAACAGCCTGTCCCATGGATTATAGATGACTCCATTTCTTTGAATATTTTTCCAAGAAATCTATGACAAAAAAAATGATATCGTGATATGATATTTGGTCTCTGATCCAAGATCCTGACAAAGTTTCTGACAAACCTTCGAAAACCCTTGGAATGTCCTTGAATGATAGGGGTGATGGGAGCATCTTCCAGTACTTAAAAGAAGGAAGCCCCTTTCAACCATTAATGTATGTTAAAGTAGTGATTCTTAGAGGATGGGATTTAGGGTTTAGAACTTTCTAAACTCCATTAGGGTTCATTAGGGAGGTGAGAGAGGTTTGAAGACTGACTCATCCGGTCCAATTAATGGAACCTCCATAAAAACCCTAAATGCGGGATTCAGAAAGCTTCCAAATTGGTGAATCCATCAACACACTGGAGAGGAGCACATTCAAAATTCCACAGGGGCAGGAGTTCTTCACTTGGGACCCTTCTGGATTTTGTCCTATGTACGTTAGCTCTTATAATGAACTAACAATAACAAATACAGTGTTTCACTGAGTTTTGTAATACACTACAACTACTATTAAAAAAAAAAACAAAAACAGGCCCAAGATGGAGTCTTTCATGTCAGGGCCAGATTTATAGCTATTGCTGCAGTGGTTTCAGCCTCTCTCAAAAAGTGTAACCCTTCACCAGTCAACCCTAACTAGAACCAGGTGAGGCATCTACATGAGCAGGAACATCCTGTCTCTACTCCCTGCCGCCCCCTGCCTTTCTCTGAGGGAAGGTGGCTCTGCCTGAAATAAATCTTTTCTTTTGCTAACCACCTTGTCTCACAGTCTTTCTGTCTATAAATACCCTCCATTTTGTACAATACCTTGAGTATCTAGATGGGATTATGCCCAATTCATGAATCATTGAATAAAGCCAATGAGATACCTAAATTTATGGACTTTGTTTATTAACAGAAAAAATTATTGAACCTAAGAAATACTGGGAACCTTGGATTTGTAGCCAAGTCAGACAGGAATGTAGCTACCCTGGGGCCCTCTCCTTGCAATATCACCTTAAGTGGGGGACAGTCTTATTGGATTGTGTTAATTCCAAGTAGTGTTAGAGTTGCTTTACATGAGGGAACAAAGCCTACACTTTTGGTATTAAAAGTGTTGGGAGTAATTTGTTTTTAGCTGCAATGTATAGTAATAATTGGATTAAAATGAAAGAAAAGCATCTTGTTCAGCAAGCATGTTTTCTCTAGAAATAAGTGAACAATTATACTCTCCATCCCCAGGTATTTCTATCAGGTGAGAAAACATTTAGCATATTAAACTGAAGCAAGAAAGTGGTAGAGGTAAGGAGGTGAGTGAACAGAATTAATTAGCCATCATCCTAAATCAATAATTCATCACTTTTTTTTTCCTTATTAAACAGGATTTTTTTCAATTATCCAGATTTAATAAAACTATATGGCTTTATCTTTTCTTGGGAAAAAAATCTCTTATACTTTATTTCTTATCATCTCTTCATAGTACAATACATAATCTTTGAAAACTCCTCCAAAACAAATACTAACCGAAGGGAGATCCTATTGGTAATTTACATTCATCATTTGGGGCATCAAAACATATGATGGACACAGTCCTTCTCCTTTGAGACTAAGGTTTCAAGACATGTTTAAAAAGAGTCCACAGTAATTTCTGTTGTATTAATAATCTTTAAATAGCTAACATGTTCGTTTTACCAGTTTCGGTACAAGAAACAAGATCTCAAAAATAAGGCAGTATTTATGCTTTTCAGATCTAGTAGACCTACCTTTATGAAACAAATCAGGCAACCCAGAAGTGGATAGATTGGAATGACTATGCAAAAGGTATAGTGAAGAACAGCTGTAACTGTATATCCCATGAAGAAAGTTATTTCGGTGATAGCAATGCATGCCAACGCTGTCTAAAGGAAAGCAAATGAGAAAACAATGAAAAAAAAGTTTAGCTATTTCATACAAACTTAATTCTCATTTTGTGCCTCAGGATTAACTATGTTTTTAATCTTTTATTAAGACATGTAGCCAGGGCCTCCGTGGTGGCCTAGGGGTTAAGTCTCAGCACTTATCACCGCTAAGGCCTGAGTTGGATCCCCGGCCAGGGAGCTGACCCACATGGCACAGCAGACCTGTCTCACCAGCTGTTCCCCAGAGCAGTTTATTTCAGTCAGTCTGTCTGTTCTGCTCCCCACTGTGTCTCTGGTGAATCCTCTCACCCACTCCCTCCACCTTTTCTCCCACCTCTGGTCCCAGTTCTTGTACACACACACACACACACACACACACACACACACACACACACACACACACACACACCCAACATGTAACCACAGTAATACTTAGCTAGGAAGTGTCAATACACTGGTACCAGTTTGTTGTTGGCACCTTAGCCATGCAGTTGTTAAATGTTTTCATTATCATCTTTTCATGCAGTGGCTGATGCAAAAAAGATGATGCTAGTTACCTAAAAATTTCCTGGACTTAGAAAAGACACAGTAATATTTTAAGTACAATCCTGGAAGTTCATGACTTTCAAATCATAAAAAGTTTGAATGAAATAATTTTAAAATGTGACTTACCACAGAATAGATAAACGACCAGAATTCTTTGGTATTTAAAATTTTTTTAAAAGAGAAAGATGTAATATAAGTAAACAAAATAACTGATGGAACATAACCAATAAGGCAAAAAACCTGTAAAACATAAATGTGCATTTTTAGGTAAAAACATGAAGAGTTAGCAATACACATACATAAAATACCAGTCATGTTAAAATATTAAGGAGTGACTATTCTTCAAATTTTACTGCTCAACAAAACACTACAAAAACTGAAATTGTGGTTATGTAAGGAGTTACCATCCACAATTTTCTTAAATCCATGAAACTCATGATTTTAACTAAATGCTAACATAATCAAGAATAAGTCATTTAAATTAAATACTACTTACAGTTCTTTTTCATGCCAAGTAAAATGCTATTTCTTGTTTTATTATAAAAACCAGTATAGGTGTAGCTGGTTATAACTTTATTTTTTCTCAATTAACTATAACCTACAGCATTTAATGCATTTGTACATTTTTTATAGAAAAATATTAATTTATAAGACAGAAATTAATATGTTAGGTCAGTATGATGTCTGTAAATTGATAAATTTTACATTCAGCAAACCCAATTTCACCTTGTTGTTTTCCCTTTTTCCTAATATAATCATTCATATGAAAGAACTTATTATCAATGATTAACAGGTGAATATGAGTGCAAATGACATGCTTCCTTAGCACATTTTAAATTATGCACTAGAAGAGCTTCTTTTCTGTAAAATAACTTTCAGGCATAGAGACAAGGAAGACATTTTAAGGAAGGATTGCTTAAGTTTTCCTGATTACACTTTAGCAGGCAGTCTACATGAAGTTTCAAGGAATTATTTCATAATGGTTAAGTTATTGTTTTTAAAAATTACTTATAGTAATATAAATTACATTGATCATAGGTACCATGTATAGTAATCAGATGCTGGTTAAAAAAAATAATGTCCAAATTATTCAACTAGTCAATTGCCAGGTTTGTAAAGACTTAGTTTCCTAAAATAACATTCTAATTATAAATAGCATAAGAACAACTGATGTTAACTTACCACAGAAAGGAACTTTACAGCATAAAAATATAATCCATAATGAAAGGCAAATAAACTTGACAGCATCAAAGTAAGAACAATAAAAAATAAGGGTATATCAACAATAGCTTGTCCAATCCAATATGCAGATGGCAAAAGACCTGAAAGTTTAAGTTGAGTATAAGCTTTAATCTAAAAAAAAAAAAAAATGAAAAATTTGGTTATAATTTTAAAACAAATAAAAACCTCTAGCAAACCTCTAGTAGAATTCTTAATTTTACATCAAGACAATAAATTCTGTGTCACAGGTGTATAGGTAATAAAAGGCCTTCTTACAGCTAAATATAAATTCCATTTAGCCTTTAATTTTGCTCATTACTTCTGAGATGTAACAATTTCAACAAATTTTTTCAGAATAAGCATATAGCAATGCTACCAGGTAACACAAAACTAAAATGAAGCAGGGTTAAGAGCTAAGCACACAGTAAGTAGTCAAAATATTATTCCTTTGGAAAATCTGTGGAAATAGATGGAAAGATATGTTTAAACAGAAAAATGATTCTCACTTTTAAAAATAAACCTTTTATACAAAAATAATAAACTAATACTAACCTCTGGATTTACATAGGCCTTTCAGGTTAAGTGAAACTTTGTACTGATAATGAATTTAAAAAGTCTTTTATATACTCTTGTGTAGTACTAGTTATTACTACCAGGAGTAAATAGCATTTTAATGTGTACTAACAGCAAATTTAAAAAATGCTAGTTTTCATCTCTCATTGAATTTGAAATTTGTTAATATCTTTTACAAATCTAAACGCCTAACAATTTTATCCAGTTGATTTGTGTCATCTATAAAAGCACTGATTTCTAATAATTAAAGGTGATATGTGAAGAGCGAGCCATCGAGTAAAATAAGGGAAACGTGGCATATAAAGGTTAAGAAAAAGTAGTGATTAAAAAAAAAATTCATAGCCTTTGTGTTTAATAAAAATAATACACATTACTAATGTAACTATGAAACCATAAGCCAAGTTAAATACAATTATTTTGGATACTCCATATTGATCATTCCCACAGGGCCGGTGGAAATGCAACACAGAATGTCCACTTTGGAAAACAGTGCAACAACTTCTAAAACTAAACATACAATCATCAGACCATGCAGCAACTGAACTCTGAAGATACGGCCAGGCGACAATAATCATATTCTACATTTAATAAACTTTATTTCATTTAACAAAAATTAAGTGCCTTAAGACATTCAATACAATCTACTACAGTTAAAGGGGAGAGACAGTCTAGTCTGCCAGTTAAGAACATAAGGGTCATGTAAGTCAGCTCCTAGATCCACTACTTAAACGGGCTGAGTCAAGCCAGGCACAGTACATGAACACGCCCAGTCTCTACTTCCTAACCTATAAAGTGGGTGTAGGGTAAAGAAAATATCAGGCTTTTCTGCCCTTCCGCCATCAGGATAGATGATGGATCCTTGTCCTGAACGCATGCCTGATGGCGGGCACCTGGAATAGGGTGTGGGCATAGGTAGATGGGATTCAGCTGAGCTAAGACTGTGCTTTTAAGGGCGGCGTCACAGGGGGACGCCAGCAGCAGCAGCAGCGGAAGAGAAGCTGAGATCACCAGAGAGCCCAGATAGAGTGAAGATTTGCTGGGGGCTGGGAGGCCTGTAAGCCTCCCGGCCCCCCAGCACCCCTGCCTGCCATATGCCTGGTGAACCCCAATAAAAAACCTGCAAAACTACTGAGGACTCTGGCTCCTCCTTTACCCCATCTGCATGGGATCAGGAAACCTGCACTGTGTCCTGCCCTGCTCTTACAGTGGGTAAGAGAAAACTTAACAGTATTGTAAACATTAAAGAATCTAACTTTTAAAGCACAAGGCAAGAACTCATTAAGCGTTATTTGCTATTGCTATAATAAATTTGAATAAATTAACTTACATTCCATTCACTTATTCCTGAAATAATTATACTCATGCGAATAGGTTTTTTGTATGAGATTTCTTACCAGCAAGATACCTGTAACTTTTTTTCCACATTACCTTATGATTCTCTGCATTTTCCATGGCAAAATAAGGTGGCATCGCAGTAACAATGATTCCAAGTAAAGCTGCTTGAAAATACAGCTCAATTCTAAAAACTATGTCCTTAATTTCCTGAAAGACAACCACAAAATAAGAAATGGAAATGAGGATCACTTTATATCATCTTAATACTTTCCAAAAGACTATCAAAACCTCTGAAGAAACATTAGATATCTAACCCAGGCACAGTCCATATGAAAAAACAAGTGGCAGTTACAGACAGGCACTGAGTTAAAGCAACAACTTTGCCATGTATTAAATAACTGTACAATGCTTGGCAAGCCAATGCACTTCCATTTTCTTATCTACAATATAAATTAAGCTTTACCATTTAATTTAAAATAATAATGTGCATGAATAGCCACTAACATGTCCACCAGTGGTCCTATACAGAGATCATGATTAGCTTTGATACCTTCATCAGCTACCTGGACTATGAACCAATGGCCACCTTGGGGCTTCCTTTTCTCTATTAAGAAATGCTGCACCCAACCTCTGCTTCCTAGGGAACCAAGAGCTGCTTCTCTCCAGCAGCTGAATCCCATCCCCCCCCACCCCAGCCCCAAAATCCTACAGTCCCTAATATTCCCTAGCTGATCAAGGAAGCAGGTACAAACAGCAACCTTTTCCATGGCCCGTTGAAGTACTGGTGACCCAAAGGAAGACTACCCAAGACCAAGCATGTTGCATTATCCCCAACACTCAGCAAGGTCATCCTCTTACCCTTGTTCTGTACGAAGATATACCCACCAGATAAGGAAGATATTGTGCCCTAGAACACTTAAGGTAGATATCATGGCCTACAAAAGAATACTGTGCCCTAGAACTGTGCCCACATCATGAATAGCAGGCACCCTGGACCTGGCATAGCCCTCAGGCATTTCTACCTTGTTGCATCTTTCAAATCTATTCACTTCTTACCAGAACTACTACTTGTGCTGTAGTGCAAGCTGTTATCGATTCTCATTTGAATTACTTCAGCCACCTCCTGCTGGTCTCCCTGTCTCTAGTCTTGTCCCTCCACTTCTCTCCAAACACATAGCTTCACTGGTCTTTTAAAGTATCAATCTAGTCATGCCAATTCTCAGCTGAAAAACATTTAGTAGTTCTCATGATCTACTCAGAAAGGAGTATAAATTCCTTAAGACAGGTCTCAAGGTCTTTCTTACCCTGGCCTCTGCTGAGATCATAAGCTTCATAACTTAGTCTTTCTCACTCTATTCATGTCCTAATATATTTCCTGTGCGCTCTCCTTTTCACAGCTGAATCTCTGTACTAGCTATTTCCTCTATTTAGAACATTTGTTTTCAGTTTCCAGTCATTCTTCAAATCTTCCCTAGTTGCTTCCCCACCTGATCTATAACCTTTAAACTACAACTAGGTACATGCTAGATATTCTTCCCACCTACTACCATAACCCCTGCATTGACTCCTATGATGTAAAACACGTTTTTGACCGTGATATCCCTGGCATTAGCAAAGGGTCTGACTATGGTAAGCACTTAATAAATGTGACTCAATAAATATTGAGAAGTGAAAAGGAATTATTAAAAGTTATATGACACTTCATCTTTGAATATGTAGTAACAAAGGACATTTTAAAGCAGTTAATTAAGGATATGGGCAATATAGTGAACAATAAAATAACAGAAATGTCAAGTTTTATAAAAGGTAGGGAGAAAGAATATAAAAAACTATTATTATAAATACTCAGCCAAAAATGTATGAAAGGTTTGGCAAAATGAGTTAAGGATGCAACGTGGTAGACAATAAGATAGGTAAATACAGAAAGAAAAAAATCAAGTTTGAGTGAGCAGAATGCAGAGGAATTAAACACACATTTTTGTTAGCAGAAAATAATTGTGACCACCTACAAATTAAAACATACTAGTATAAGACATGCTTATATAACCTCATACACACTATTTTTTTAATTTGCTTACTTGAAAGAATGGGGTATTCCAGACCTCGATGCTCTCAGTCACATTTTCGCGATAAAGATAGTAGTTACTAATGATATTCATCAATACAGGCAAAGAATAAACCATAGTACTGTTGAAAACAGCTGTGAAAACATAGTCCTACAATTTAAAAAGAGAGACTTATTACATACAATATACATAGAAGTATAAATGACACATTATTGCTATATACCAACCTTTTCTCACTAACTGAACTAATTCTCATGAACCATAGTGATCACAAAAATAGTACTAAAGACAATCTGATCTGGAATCTACAGACATTTTGCCGTTTGAAAAATAAAGCACAGAAATCAAATTAAATTCCTTGTAGTTTTATATACTGGTCATCCATCAGGACATAAAACAGCACAAATAAACCTGTTATTTCTATTTCTAAAAGGAAATTCTAATTTCCACCTAATGAGGTCAAATCAGCAAATGATTACTTTTAGAGGAAATAGCAATCCTTCACAACTTTTAAATGGGCCTCCCCTCTCATATTTCCCTCTTACCTTTTCTGAATTCATCACATTTAAAGCCGCACTATGAGGAGCAGCAGAGACATAGTCACTGTCATTAAACATCGTCACCATTATGCTCTGGTTCGTTAAAAAGTTAATAAAATCATTGATATCTGAGTCTGGCATTGGAAAAAAGCAAATAATATAATCAGTTTAAATGAGAAACAGACACAGGTTTTTAATGACATTGCAAAGAAGTCTCTCTATATAAAGAAGTATTTCATCTTCATTAGATGAGACATAAATAAGAACACTGACTCTGGAGCCAATCACATTAGATTCAAATCCAAAGGCCTTAGATATATACAAAGGCCTTAGAACAGAACCTGGCACACAAATTTTAGCTGTGGCTGCTACTATTACTCCTCACATTGAAAGCTTGTCTATCACGCTCACCTGAAAGTTTGTTAAATGGTGAGAATAAAAATCTACCTGCTAATTTTTTGTAATAAGATAAGCTTCCTGGCTCATAATGGTACAGGTCAGGGTGTGGAGTTAATTAACATAACACTCTAGAGGATTTCTATATGCTTTAAATGGCTGGTTTGTATATGCTTTGAACAAACAAGTAAATGTCAATTGCCTTAACTGACTTAAAATATTAAACATATAATCAGGTCCCCATTTACATTCTTAAAACTGCCTGAAGCCAAGGGAAAGCTTCTGAATTCTGTTTTGAGTTTCAGATTTCACCAACATGTCCGATAAATGGCAACATTTCCCTTCCATCATCACAAAGTGGGAATCAAGGAAGGTCAACTGTGACTCTGAGAGACAGCAAAACCAAAGGAAGATATCAACCATCAGTAAGAGAGTATGGTAAGGGGTTCTGATGCAGCACCAAACTTGAGTGGCATAGAGAGTGGTGTTTTCAGTGAGACTACACTTACTCCCAAACCAGTGCCTGAACAAAGTGGCTCTGTACTCTTGAGAAGACAGCTAGCTATGTTGTAACTTGAGGAACTGTACTACATGCCACACAAAAGCATTGCAAGGAGGGCAAGACACTACCCAACACATACCTAAGGAGGTCAGCAATGCCTAATGGAAATGTGGCTCTACTTAGAACCTATAACAAGGCCTAGGAAAATAAGAGATACATATGTAATCAACTCTAGAAATACTAAAAAGCAGCAAAAGGGACATAACTTTGAAAACACTAGAATATTGACAGATCAGTGAGAATGAATGCAAAACAGAAAGTTTGTGATCATGTACAATTCTCCAAGCATAAAAAATGTCACAATATCCAAGTATAGTTTCATGCATTACATTTTAGTAACATGAAATATTTATTAAAATCAAAATCAATTCTTATGAAAGTAAGCTGGAAACCGTAACATTTTCTATTTGAGTAGTTTTCTATAATTAAATGTATTCCTCCTCTAAAAGAAATGGATTATGTATACACTGAGAGCCAGATTTCAAGAGTGATGATTTTAAGAGTAATTTAAAATCACCAGTAACTATGATTATTATTTCAACATGGGGCAAGACTCTGAAATTAACAGTAAATCAAAAAGAAAATAGAATATAGGTGAAATATTGGAAAACATTAATCTAAAGAGTTTATGAGTATAGAAAGGGTTATATGTCATGCAACTTTCTAATACATCTTAGCAAGATAAGCAAGCGAGGCTGTTTTTGCTTTGCTGTAAATTTGCCAGTTAGGTAACCTTGATTTTCTCTTCAAGAATCTTAGGACTACACCAACCACTATGGAGAGCTGTGTGGAGATTTCCTGACCTACAAAACATAGAGCTTCCATATGATCCAGCAATTCCACTCCTAGGTATTTATCCAAAGGACACAGAAACATCAATTCCAAAGAGCACCTGCACCCCTATGTTTATAGCAGCACTATTTACAATAGCTAAGCTTTGGAAACAACCCAAATGCCCAAAAACAGATGACTGGATCAAGATGTGGTCCATATACACCATGGAATATTACTCAGCATTCAAAAAAGATAAACACATGCCCTTTGCCGCAACATGGATGGCGCTGGAAGGGATCATGCTCAGAGAAATAAACCAGAAAGAAAAAGAAAAATACCGGATGGTCTCACTCATAGCAGGAATCTAGAAAACTTAAATAAGGGACCAGGAAAATGAAAAACTATAAGAAAGTGAAAATCAAAATCAACAAGAAACTATGAACCAGAGACACTCTATGGGGGGTGGGGGGCGGGGAGGGGAGGGATTGGGGTCAAAATAAGGGGGTTGCAATTGTATGGGGAATATAATAATAAAATTTATTAAAAATTAAAAAAAAAAGAATCAGGACTACAAACCACTTATACATATGGGAGATGTTAAAAGAACAACTGATGGTGTATGAATGAAATTTTGTATAAGGTTTTAATATTTTGAAATTAGAATCCTAGGTGAGTTTTTATCATCTGTGCCTTGCAAAGTCATGTGCTTTTTAGTTTTCATATTTGACAATTATATAAGAATAATCAATAGCAAACCCCAAAATATCCATTACAAATTCAATGTAGTTGATTATAAATATATCTAAGGCCATCAATTTTTCTTAATTCTAATTAACTTCTCAGATAGTCTTCAAAGAATTGTTTAAACATTTCTATTTAGGTATACAACTGCATAAATATTTCCTGCTATAACTCTTTCTAAAAGAGGGTCTTTCAACTTCTGAAGGCTATTTTTGCTACTCAGACTTTGAGCTGGAACATGATGCTTTGAGATTATGTTGCTCTTATTAGAAAGAGAAATTTTATGAAAATAAGCTGTACACATTAGAACATTTTAAAAAATCATCATCTACAATTCCACCAAAATATCACTTCTGTTGTATATTATTCAGCATCAATAGGTATTTTGTTTAAGTTAGATCTGAGCAGACAGACAATGCCTTTACCTTGCATTATTTTTAAAATCCAAATTTCTGACCCATGTGTCCCCTCAACCCTTTGCCCCAACCAACACACATTCACAGACCTTCACACACTCTCACCAGTAGAATTTTGAAGAAGCAGATCTGTTTTGTATTTGTCAGGTTTATCTCCAGGTTTTAGTAAATATAAGTCTGGAACAAGTTTGACAGGAACCACAGCACTTTTAAAAGAATGATGTACCAAAAACATAAAAATCTGAACTGCAAAAAATACCAAAAGCAGAAGCAACCTGAAGAGGAAAATAAACAGCAATTCAAGGCATATTGATATATGTAAATCTGTTAAAATATCTTCTACCAAATGACAGTTAAGATACTCATTAAAAAAAAAAAAAGTTCTTGGAATTCGAATTTCCATTCCCCAAAATGATCTTGTGACAATACTGGATAGAAAGGCAACATTCACTGACAAAATTAAACGATAAAAAAGTGTATTTTAGATCAGAGTCACCATGACAATTTGTAAAGGCATGTAAACTTCTGAAGAACCAGAACTTACGTCACATTTACATCACATTACAGATGTAAATAGTCCCTGAAGAGACTATTATCCGAACTACTTCTATTCTGTTTACTCTCCATAGATTTTTAGAACACATGACACAAAAAATTTTAAACACAGGGAAGAAAATGAAAATACAGTAAAACTTTACATGATGGATAGCTTTCTCAGTCCCTTGTCACGTTGGTTTCCATTGCTCCTCTAAAGGCCAAGCACTATATACCACAGTTCTAGGGATCATCACTTGTAGCTGGGCTAGGTCATAATTCTAAGATCCATCCAAAATCCTCTACTATTTGGATGGCAGAACTTCCTCTCTTATCTTGCAAATATCTCCATATTTTATGTGGTAGGTGCCATATCAAATGGGTAGAAAGCTAAATTATCAGACTTGAGCATTTTATAATTTTCAGAAACTCAATAATTGTTTAAAACCATTTTTAATTGTAAATATGTCTAAACCAGCATTTCCAAAAGCATATTGTATTGAACTAATCCCATACAAAGTTAATAGGTATTTTAGATGTTTAAAAATTCATGATTAAATATTTGGAAATCGCAGGTTAAACAAACCTGAAGTAATATCTTTACCAAAAATAAAAAATAAAACCTAAATACAATGACAGTAATTCAGAAACTACATAATTAGATAACATTGTCACACCCTCATTTTTTAGATGAGATTGAAACATGTTAATTTAAAAAAAGGCTCTAATGACCTTTGATGAAATTACTATAAGCATAACTTTCTGATATTATGAAATGATAGTTGATCTTTCAAAACTACATAATTATTTACATGTCTACATTTAAAAAATTGAGATGGCCAAATTAATTCAAATCCTTAAAAAAATAACTCATCTAGCAGATGACTATACTTACACAGATCTCACTGATTTACTTTCACGTTTCAAGTTAAGGATGTGAAACTTTGCTATTGTATACACCTGTTGTTTCCAAAGGCTCATGGAGCTCACTAGCGAAGCTTTGGTTTCAGAAAGAATAAGGAAGCTCTGCTCCATTTCATCAAAAGATTTTGAATCTATTTCTTCCTCTGGTGGCTGCTGAGAAAATACACTGTAATCTATTTGTCAAAACAAAATAAAAAGTTAGAAAATTTGGTATATTCCTTAAGAGGAGGAAAACTTTTCTGAAGTAAGGACATTTTAAAGAAGCACATAGCCTGGTGGTGATGCAGGACCCATCTAATTCCCTTCCTCCTAAGTATTATAAGCATATTCACTCACAAAACCTACATTCTGACCTCTAACTTCCTTATTTCCTCTATTCCCACAACTTTATCTCCACTCAATTTCTTCAAACGGGATGCATGCTCTGAGATCTTGTTTTCTCTCTAGCTGTGTAAAATCCAAAATTTTTACATGAACTTTCCCTGACTGTAATCTAATCGTGTCCTCATAAACCTTGCCCTCCTCTTTTCTCCATGTTTGAGAGAAATATCCCTGGTTTCCTCCACTCTCCTATCCTGTATCACCGGCTTGCTAATCTTCAACGATAAGAAAAGTTTTTTAGCAGCTCTTCTGCCTGCCTCTGACTATACAGCTTTTTCTCCTTTTTCAAATAAACCTGTCCTTTTAAAATGTGAAAAAAAAAAAAGTTTCTTTGACTCACATTCTCATCTTCAACTACACAGATAAGTCTTGATCTTTACCACACCACTCTAAATGCTTTTGCCAAGGTCACCACTGGCTTCCACTCTACCAAATACCTCACTGTCTTCTGTATAATTAACAAAACCATCTTTTCTGTCATCATCTTATTCTTCGCAGCAACCAGCAAATTATTGTCCATTTTTCTCTTTCCTACCACCACCTGGTCTTGGCTTTTACATCCCTTGTTGTAAACATAGAAAGAGCAACAATAGTGGTTTCCTTTTACTGAGTCCTTTTTGGCTCACCACTGCTTAACCCTAGGTTTGCCCCTCTACTCTCAGCTACTTGATTTCAACCAAACCCATAAGTAACTCTACATGAGTAACTCCAGAATTTATATCTTTAAGTATCAGCTCAACAAAGTCCTCCGTAAAGACATAATCTAGGTCCTCCCTGGTGGTGCAGGTGGTTGAGTGTCGCACTGTGAAGCTGTCCACAGCCTCTGCAGCATGGGTTCGATCCCGGCCGGCGGGCGAGAATCCCACATGGCACGGCAGACCTCTCCTGTCTTGCTCGCTGCTCCCCTCAGCAATGCCTTCAGCCAGTGCCTGTTCTACTACCCACTCTGTCTCTGGTGAATCCTCTTACCCTCCCGCGCATCTGGCCTGTACCCCAGTTTTTGTATAAATAAATAAATCTTTAAAAATAAAGATACAATCTAAGTTACTATCACTCGAGACCACCCTATCATTTCCTTCATAACTTCCACCACTAACAGTAAGCATCTCGATTACATATTTATTCACCTGTTTATTTCTTCCCTTTCTTTTCCAAAATTAAATTTCACATGCTTATATGATTATTTGTCCAGTTCATTTCTGTCTGGTTCATTGCCTTAAAATGTATTGTTAGTTTTGTTTTTACCTGCTTGGTCAATTTCTGCTTCAACTTCAAGCTTTAAGAATACATCTTCCAAAGTTGTCATTGAGACACCATAAGAAATAACACCTAAATTTGAATGAGTATCTAGAGCAGAAAATAAACCTAAAAGAAAAAAAAATTAAAGAATATTGTGTAGTTAATCACACTATGATAACTATTCTAAAATACCTTTCAAAAACAGGGTATGATTAAATTTACTCTGCTAGCACAGTGGCTTTCAAACTTTTAGTCTCAGGAGTCTTGAACATTCTCATAAACTACTAAGGACACCAAGGAATGTTTGTTTATAGAGAAATATAAGGTACTTATCATTATAAATTAACACTAAGAAATAGTTGACATACAGAGTAATAGGCAGGGCGTATTAAGTTGGCATATGTACTTCAGTTAATTCATGATTCCTTTTATTTTTTTCAAAAGAATCTACTAGATTTAGATAGAACATTTCTATCTAATTGTGAGCTAGATGCTATGGGAATTAGGTGCAATGTATCTACATCAGTAATATCCTTTCGGCTATTAAGAGATTCCTAAATAAAGGAGACTGAGTTTGACTTCCTTAATATAAGCCAGGTAAATAATGCCACAATTAAAATCATTCAAGAGACAATCATACAGTCATGAAACTGGAAAAGCACTTGAGGACATATACAAACAATTCTATATTTGTAGATATGTGTATGTGTACAAACATATACAACTTATTCCCAAAAGTCCTACAAGCAAATGGAATAGTTTGTTTCCTTTACAACAAAACAAACACAATGTTTCTTGCATGTTTTTTGTAAAAAAAAAGAAAAGGAAACATGTTATCTTGTGTAAATAGTTCTAGTTTTCACAAGCAGAACAAAGCAAAAAAAAAAAAAAAAATTAACCCTAACCACCTAGGAACATAGGCGATAATCTGTGTGATATTTATCACACTGAAAAATAACAACAAGGTAAATCAAGAAAACCTATGCTCAATGTATGATATTGGTTGAAAAACCAAGAAACTGAAAGTAGGTTATACCTGAAAATTTGTCCATGTCCTTGAAAGGCAAGCTATATACAATCTGTTGGTCATTTTGTTGTAGTAAAGTAGCTCCAGGTATATGTTGTTTAACCAGGGAAGAAAGAGATTCTGTGGCACAGTACCTGTCTATGTGCATACTAGAGAAAACCAAATATCATAATTTTTTTATGATTGCTCAGTAAACAACCAAAAGTAAATTCTGAACGCTTTAAGTTAAAGCTAGGACCATAAAAAATGGCCAGAGCACATTATGGCAAACCCTAAATCTAATAACTATTGCTTAAGAATTTAACAAAGAATGAAGCCAATAGAGAATGAATGATACCTCAGGCGGTAGCCAATTCCCCATTTACTTTTGAGAAAAATTGAAGAACCAACACATTTCAACATTCCTTGTGATATGACAGCTTTTCTATCTGCAAAGAGAGATTTCCATTTCATTTTTTTAAGTTAATAACAGCATTAATTAATTGTCATTTCTATTTTATGAGTTACTGTATGATACACCAATGCACTAGCTCATTAACTGATCAGACCACCTTTTGAGGAAGGTACTATATTATTATCACTCATTTTTGAGGTGAGAACACTGACACAATGAGAAAGTATCAACAGTCTGCCCTCATTTCACAGAGCCATTAAGTGACAAAGCAGGACCGACACCCTGGCAGTCTAACACTAGAGCACGTCTTCATGATGCTGCTCCAGATATCTTAGACTTTTCCTAAGAGGTTTACTAACGCAAGTACTTTCAAAACTGCCTTTAAAGTCAAATGCAAAAATCACAACAAAAAGGTAACAAAGACAAAATGTTAGTTTGTTGGGTTTTTTAAACAAGACACTACTGAAAAAAAAGGTGCCCATTTTATTAGATTATATTGTAAACAGAAGTTGCTGTAGGATTGCAAACACTTTGATCTTGTCAGGACTGTCACCATTTCTAAAACAGATAAGGGTGATTCACTGGACCTAAATTGTACAAACCATATAGATTATGCTGAACACCTGCTTTCCTTCTGGAAGTCTGCAATTCTGGGAAGCGCTAGGCAGAGGGAGACTACAGGACCAACACCCATTAAAAGTCTTGACCACTGTAAGTTTCTCTAGCAGACAACACTTCACAGATTAACAACTCATTGCTGAAGAAGTTAAGCACATTTTGTGTGACTCTACTGGTAGAGGATTCTTACACACTCATGTTGGCTCCTCCAGATCCGTCCCATGGATCTTTCCCCTTTGCTGATTTTGCTTTGCGTTCTATTTCACTGTGCTAACTTGCACACGAGGGTGACTACGTTAAGCCCTATGAATTCCCCTAGCAAGTTATTTAAACTTGGGTGGTCTATAGGACTCCTTATATCAAAACTTGTATTATTTTTTAATTTAAAAACCTTTATGAAGAACAGCTTATTTCTCAGGATTTAGCAGCTCTGTGTCTAACCTCCCATTTGATTATATAGCCTAATCCTTCAAAAATAAAAATCTCACCAGCAAGAATGTCAGCTTCATCCATGAAATGAGTACTAAACACTGTCACCCGATTTGATTTTCTGTATTTTAGAAGATTCCAAACAATATGACGAGAACAGGGGTCCATTCCAGCTGTTGGTTCATCTAGCAGTAGTATCTGTTTGAAAGGGGTAGAGACAAAGGACACAAAAACATTAATTTAAAAGGATACCTGCACCCCTATGTTTACTGCAGCACTATTTACAATAGTTAAGACATGGAAACAACCCAAATACCTAAAAACAGACGACTGGATCAAGAAGTTGTGGTACATGTACACAATGGAGTACTATTCAGCAATCAAAAAAGTTAAACTCATGCCATTCGCAGCAGCATGGATGGAGCTGGAAGGGATTATGCTCAGTGAAATAAACCAGAAAGAAGAAGAATAATATCATATGGTTTCACTTATAGGAGGAATATAGAGGAACCAAATAAGGGATCAGGAAAAACATAATTATAATAAATTAAAAAACAAAACAGGCAACTATTAACCAGAGACATGCTGCAGGGGAGGGGGAGGGATCAAAACAGGTGAGGGAATGTGTGTTCTTACGCAAGGGACTATGGTGATGGTGCACGGGTGAATTGGTGGTGGGAATTTTGCGGGGACTATCCCTAAGAGGAGAAAGCATGCATTGGACAAAAAAGGAAGAATGATGTAAATATATATATAAAATAAAATAAAAGTAAAGTGCAATGATTAAAAACCAAAAAAAAAAAGGGGGGGGGAGAGAAACACAGGAAATCCTCAGGAAAGCTAAAATATATAAAAATTTATGTGGACACTGAAAAGCTTCCCTACATCAAGTTATTATTTCCAATGAGAAATATATTGGATCTGAATTTTTCACTTATATGTGTAAAAGTTAACATAAATTTTCACATAAATTTTTAAATTATCAGTTTGGCATGTGAATACTTCCTTGGATAATTTCAGCTTTAAAAGACCAATGTCTGCAATAGACAAGACATACATATAACAAACTAATAATCAAGATGTTAAGTATAATTTTTATGTGAACAATATATAAAACAATATTGATCTCTATCAAACAATATAACTATTGTTTGATAGAGAAGCATGTCCTGTTATTCGTTCAAGGGAGGCAGTTTGATTTAAGATCATTTTTAATTTAAAAACATTGCTCGAGATTTGGAGCAAGATAAATTAATATAAAGTCAGAACCCAAAGTCATCTCCAGGTTGCAGCAGCAAGGGAAAATATGGCGGGATGGGGAAGCCCCCTGGGGCTCCCAGCATCAGGTATTCACCTGGAAGCTCTCTAACCCTCACAAAATGCTGTGTCAGTTGGGGCTCTGATTCTACAGAATAGAGAACGGCACAAAAAAGACACATGCAGAATAAAATCACCAGGTCAGTGAAAAACTGAACTATTCGATTTTCTTCTATTTTTTTCAATTTTATTATGAACTAACCTATTACAAATATATTAAAGAACAACCTGTAGAGAACAGAACAATACTGTTACAGCTACCACTGAAATTTAACAAATGTTTTTTCACCCTATTTCCCCCACATCTTTTAAAGAAACCAAACACTGCAGATGTAACTAAAGGCTGCCGTAGATGTAACCACTGTCATAAAGATGTTATCTTTCTGAACTCAGCTCTAACACCTTATTACTATAATTACACTCGTAACAACATATAACTTGACATGTGTATGTGTACACACACACACACACACACACACACACACACACACACCTTTCTACAGCCTGATTTTCTATTCAACAAAACTTTAATGACACTAATATTTTTTACCTTTGGATTCCCAAGAACAGCAATTCCTAATGAGAGTTTTCTTTTTTGACCACCACTTAGCTTTTTGGCTTGGTTATCTTTGATAGCCTGCATGTCTAAATCCAGTAAAACCTTCTGCACCTATAAAAGTAAAGTGTGAACAATATTTTTGGAATTGTAGCATTATATTTTAGTTTTTAAGTGTTCTGATTTTAATATTAACTTTAAAATTGCTCTTTGCTACAGAACTTAACTTTGACTTATAGTCATACATAACTTTGAAATAACAGATGGAAGGATTCCTGATGGAAAGGTCTGCTTTGCTTTGGTGACCTCCTGGGTAGCAGGGAAGGTCAGCACAAAGGTTCTATGTGTGTGTGGAGGAAGAAGAGAAAGACAGGAGGAGGGAGAAAGTAAAAGAAAAAGAAACACCTGTATTGAGAGACTGTTACCCTATAGATGAAACAAGGACTATTTTATATGAGTTAACACACCCACATTTCAACTAATTTTTTATAATGACATTCTATCTACTGGCTTAGAGCATGTTTTATATGTAGACTGTCAAACGTATTTTCACTAAACAAGTTATTACAAAGTTCATTAGTTTACAGGGAGCAAAAGTAAGTTGTCAGTATGAATAACATACTTCTTGTATTACATTATTGGCCGGTACTCCTTTGATTGAAGCCAAAATGGATAAGTTTTCTTCTACTGTCAAAACATCAAAATGTATATCTAACTGTGGACAAATGCCGATCATTTTCCTTGCTTCAAACATTTCATCTATTTCTGAGACTCTGTGTCCATATATTGATGCAAACCCTAAAAGCAAAATATACATTTAAATTTCTATCAAATATATTATGCACTAAAAAGGATATATGCTTTAAGATATGCTAGTCACTTAGTTTTTTGCATGCAACATATATAAGAGTTAATGTAAATTTAGAAGATAAACATCAATAGTATCGGTGGTCTTCTTCCAGTTATGCTCCAATCTCATTTTCCTTTCGTTTCACATGATGTTATATGATGGAAAGGGCAAGGAACTAGAAGCTTAACACTAAACAAATTATCTATCAGGGCATTATTTACACTTATATTCCAGAAGTAATTTTCTTTCATTTCAGGCATTATGCAATAATGGAGAGAATGAAGAACTGAAAGTTTTCTCCTAACTAGGTGTGTAGTCTTAAGAAAGTCACTTTATCTGAATTCAGATTTTCTCTTCTATAAACTATATTCTAATATATCCCACCTAAGATTTGTTAAATCAATGTGATAATGTGTAGAGAACTGTAACAAGAATCACATATTCTTATATAAATTTAAATATTACTACTACTGTCAAAGAGTGACATGACTAGGACAAGTAAAATCAAACAAATTTTGGAAGTTTAACTTTCCTTTAAAAGATGCAAATACAGGCCTCCCCAGTGGCACAGAGGATTGAGCGCAGAACTGTGAGGCTGTCCCCAGCCTCTACAGTGCCTGTTTGATTCCCGGCCGGCCAGGGAGATTCCCACATGGTGCAGCAGACGTCTCCTGTCTTGCCTGCTGCTCCCCTCAGCAGTGTATTTCAGTCCTTCTGCTGTTCTGCTCCCTGCTCTGTCTCTGGTGGATTCTCTCACCCTCCCGCACCGCTGACCTGTACCCAGTGCTTGTGTAAATAAATAAATCTTTAAAAAAATAAATAAAAGATGCAAATACAGTATATGGAAATTTGGTCCTTTCTCAAAGTAAAAAATTTATTGTGCTATCACTCTATTGGGTTATTGCTGAAATAACTGAAAAAGCCAACTGAATTCTCACCTTTATGACAACCATATATAATACTTATATGCTAGGAGAACAAAACAACTCTATTTTAGGAGACAGTGTTGACATTTATCATTTTTTGTTTCAAACCATCGTAGCATATTTAGAAATTTATTTCTGTCTTTTCAGCCTGAACTGCCTATAGATCTCACTTAATTTCTAATTAATTACTGATTTATCTTTCCTTGAAGTGAAAAACACACATACACATGCAAAATATCTGATAAAATAGGTACAAAATTAGATCGTTTTCAGTTTACTAAACATGATTCCTTTTTTCTATTGAAAAATATGTATAAAATCAAAAGAAGACCCAGAAATTGGTCCCAAATGATCAAAAAATTAATCAGCACTTATTTCAAGGATAACTGCATTACTTTGGTTAATAACACTAATAAAACAAAGATTTTTTTTGTTTAAATCAGAAAACTCTCACCATCAGAAGGTGGGCAGAGTCCACAAAGAATATTCATCAGTGTGCTCTTTCCTGTCCCACTGTGGCCAAGCAATGCAGTGATCTGACCTTCATATATGTCAAATGACAAATCTAGTGAAGGAAAGAAGAATCAAATGCAATGTTTATTTCTGTTTAGCTAGGCAAGATAAGCCATCACAGTTGAGCAATCATTAAATAAGTCAATAAGTTAAAAAAAGATATAAAGTTATCAGCACATTTAACAGCTTAATATTTAAAGTTATAGCGTAATAATTCCTTGTTATAGTCCATATATGAACAATAAGAGGAGTAATAAAATAAACCTGTTTTTTGTTACATTAACAGATTTAGAGTGCACAAAATTTGATGGGGGTGCTTCTTCATACTCACTTTTGGGAATTTCCAAGGGCATTAAAACAAATAATGAGACAATAAAAATTTGTTTCAAGTGTATTTTTAGCCATGCTAGATATATTAGCAAGAAACTAAAGTTAACCAATTATATGGGAATAACAGTAAATACTTAAAAGGTCCATTTTAAATAAAAGAAACATGGAATAAAAAATGTAACTGGATGGGGCCTCCCCAGTGGCACAGCGGTTGCGCGCTGAGTTGCGAAGCTGCCCGCAGCCTCTGCAGCTCCAGTTCAATCCCCAGCAACCGGGTGAGGGTACCACACGGCGTGCAGACCTCTCCTGCTGCCTGCTGCTCCCCTCAGCAGTATACTTCGTCAGTCTGCCTGCTCTGCTCCCTGCTCTGGCTCTGTGAATTCTCTCGCCCTCCCGTACTTCTGACTGTACCCAGTGCTTGTATAAATAAATAAATCTTAAAAAAAAAAATGTAACTGGATGGATGGATCAATCATGGAAGGAAGACAGAGACAGGGATTTGAACATTTTAAACTTGCTTTTCCACTTGTAATTTAATACTATCAACTGATTCATTCATGTGTGCAATGTAAGGAAACAAAACAAACTCTTGGATTTGACTGCAGAACTGATGTTATAGGGCTGGGGCCAGGTGGGGGGGTGTGGAGGGAATGAATGTGGTCAGTGGAATGTGGTGGTTACCAGTATTTTGGTGGTATGCATGGTGTGGCAGCATTCATTTCAAGAGGCGTGAACCTATACCCTCTAACACATACAGTGTTGTAAGCCAACATTACATCAATAAAAAAGAATTAACTAATTTTAAAAACTATAGCATGGATGGAATACTAGGAAAAACACTTACTTCTCAAAGCTTCCACATTTTCACCTTTCTTTCTGTAGGTCTTCTGAATACCACTGATTCTGAAAAACATCATTTTCCACTTTATTTAAACAATAAGTTTGTCTTTACTTGTATAAAATGTATCATAGTTGTCATGTTTAATAGGAATAATACCTTCCTAACAAAACAATAAGCCAGATTTGACAAATAATTATAAAATTATTTTGAAGGAACCACAAGAAAAAGTTTACAATTCTTCATTTTACGCTGCGTTCATTTTGCACAAGAAATCAACTTCTATTAAGAAATTAAAGCAGGGCCTCTCTGGTGGTGCAGGGGTTAAGTCTCATCATTGCCAAGCTATCTCCAGCCACTGTGGCCTGAGAGTTCCATTCCTGGCCAGGGAGCTAACCCACATGATGCAGCAGACCTCTCCTGCCTTGCCCGCTGCTCCCTTCAGCAGTATATTTCAGTCGATCCACTTCTTCTGCTCCCCACTCTGTCTCTGGTAAATCCCCTCAACTCCAGCGCCTCTGGCTTACACCCTAGTTCTTGTATGCATAAATAAATACATCTTTAACAACAAAAAAAGAAAGTAAAGCATTTGAGTCAAGCAACTTAGAGATTTCTTTCCATCTTTTATAGTTTTTGTTTGTAATTAGCCAAATTCTTATTAATCAGTTAAAGGAGATTAAAATCAAAACACTATCTCATATCATCACATTTCAAATGGTCTATAAATGTGAAGTGATTCTCTCATTTGGTTTTAATTGTTTTATATAACTATTTAAAGAATTAACGGTTTTTTAGTCAGTTTGAATTTTACCCTTGAGAAGGCATAAATCAGTTTACAATGATTACATCATATATTTTTCTTAAATTAAAAAAAAAATTTATATTTCATTTTTCACATATTTCTTTTTTCTTTCTCTTCTTTATTACTTTCTTAATTTGGTTTTGACTCTAATAAGGAATGGAAATAAAATTCTTTGGTTCTTAAATTTAAACATATTCCAATTATGTCACAAGGAGCTATGAGATTAACAGAGGACAATTTAATACACTCAGATAATGTCACCTGAATAAAATAATGTTAATTCTTATTCTGTTTCAAGATACTTAATGGAGAAAGCATAAAGCCATTTTTATATAAACACTAGGTTTTATTAAGATTTGAAATTTCCATTAAAAATAAAATTTCAAATCTAGCAGCAACCTTATTTTAAATGATTGCAACAAAATAAGAACTTAGATGAAAAGCAACTTTTAACAGTTGTTGTAAAAATCATGAAATATATACCAAATATCCTAAGATACCATATTTACATACTTTATTTAAAAGACAGAACTTAAACATGGCAAATTCTGTTAGCACGCCTTATACCTAAATTGTCAAAGATTAAACCATACCTAATGGCTTCTTTTCCTATGAATTCTGAAGAAACAGGCTCAACAATTTCACTAAAACTAATACTTCCATTAACATTGCCCTCTGATAGCTCCTTATAATTTCTTTTGCTCTTTGACCAATAAGATGGCTGCAGAAAATATAAAGATGATCTCCGTAAGCCAAATTCCCCTGAAAAATAAAAATACTGAGTTATCGTGACAAATTACTTCTGAAAACTAGTTTTTAACTCATAAAAGCAGTATGCGAAACATATGATAGCCTACCTCTAACATTCAGATAGAAAATACTGTCTAATGTTGCAGGAGAAATAAAGTTTCATTGACAAATAACTTTAGTTCATAAACAGTTTCTGAGTTAACTCAGAGGGCACAAGAATGTAAAAGTGAGTAAAACACATTTCCTGCTCTCAAGGAACTTACATCTTTAGGGGTACACATATATGCCAAATGGTTAGAACATAATGCATAACATGAGGCATGTAATACATAGTGGTATAAAAGTTCAAAAAAAGAAATGTTTACATCTGGATAAGGGTTATATATCCTAAAGGTCTAAATGAGGATCAATTTAGATAGTGTTTGAAAACAGGGAACTTTCAGAAACGTGGAGATGGTTCATAGAGAGTTAGAATTAGGAGGGTAACACAGCAACAGAACAGACACAGGACACAGATATGGTACAGTAATACATGTCCACACTGCATGTTTCCATCTTCCTCTTTCCCCCCGAAAAAATACTTCCCATTTTTTTAAATATCCACATGGCCACATGTCTCAAAGAGATCTGATCCCAACTACACAGAAAATTCTCATGATTGTAACCAGTATTTGCATGCTCTGGTGACTAGCTGCTCCAGTCGTAAGCATGTAACCAATCAGAAAGCAGCAAGGGGCTTAGTTGGGGGAAAGATGCCCCCTCCCTCTTTTAATGGACATAAACAAAGAAGGGTAACATCGTGCAGTTTCAAGGGAGCAAAACTGGCAGAGTTTTGGTGGCAAAGGCATGGAGAAAGCGCGTTTCCTGGTGATAGAGTGATCAAGACAAAGGATATAGGGCCCATCCTTTCTCTGGACTTCCTTTTAAGACAATTGATTGCCCTCTTGGCTAAGCCATTTAGAAAGATATTTCTGTTATGAGTAGCTAAAAACAAAATAACTGACACACTGGATGTGTGTTTATTAAGTGAGTAAACAGGACTGTTCTGATAGACATTTAATGTAATAAAGAGGAGAGAGATAAGGAGAGATTAAATCTATAAAAGTATTGTGCAGGACATTAATATGCAGTACATAATAGATTTCTATTTAATTCACCAGGATATGACCAGCAAGCCTTCTGAGCAGATGACTATCTTGAGTTAAAGGAAAGTTGAATTTCTTAGACAGAGTTGAGGTATCACTAAGGGAGAGGTACTGCAATGCTCCAAACTCGTGCTGCTCAACAGAACTCTTTGCAATGATGGAAATGTCCTATCTCTGCAATGTACAATTTGGCAACTAATAGTCATATGCAGCTTGAACTACTCAGGAAATTAATTCAATTAATTCTAATTAATAATATTCTAAAAGTCCCATGTCCTTAGTAGTTACCACATAAGACACTGCAGGTTTGCAGCTTCAAAATGTAGACAAAAGTAATGAGAAACTCAAGGGGGAAAACAAAGAAGGTATACAGGATATTTAATAATGTTTGAATCTACAGGAGTTGGCCTGATAGGAAATGAGGAGATTAAGAGGGATTATAAGAAAACTGCATAGTTTTATATCTCAGAGAATAAAATAATGAAACCCTTTTACCAAAAAAGATTGATACAGGGAAGGTCTAAAAAGTTCAGTTAGAGACTTAGGGCTTTCCAAATAAACTGCTCTCTTGTCACGTACTCTTATGTTCAATAGATGTTCAGGCATTAGGTATAAAATACACTTAATATTTTAAATTGAAAATTATAACAATGACTATGACTTATGGTACTCTGGCTAGAAAAAAATAATTAAAATCAATTTGACCCTAAATGGGCAAAAAAACCTAAAAATCTTTCATGTAAAATCCAATACCTACATACCTGGAATGACTTGATCAAGATACACAGCCAAGAGGACATAAAATATACTATTAAGTGCTAGCATGATAATAGTGATAATTAGAGGATATGGGCCTTCGGTCAAATTAGAAAATAAAGCACCTTCATTAAAATCTTCTAAATGCATGACCTAAAAAAATAGAAACATCAATTTATTATGAAAAATGGTAAAAATAAGTAAAAGCTAATGCTAATGACAGTTAATATATCTAGAATATCAGTAACCAAACTAGGTCTTTTAATAAACTAAACAATCCACCATTTATAAAGAAAGCAATTACTAAGTTTTTCACAACAATCATGTTTATAATGCTGTGCTTCTAAAATTAATATACATTTACCCCTGGAACATTTGTTTTAATGTTATTATGTGTGCTGCTAATCCTAACTAATACAAATAAAAGAGTTATGGGCCACATGGAAATCAAACAAATGGTTAGAGAATAAAATTATGGACAGCATTTTTTCAAGACTGAAAAAGGAAGGGGCTCTCTGATTAATTAACACAATTACTTAAATTCTTCATAGCAGATATATGTGATAGGACAGAAAGATATATATACTGGACACTGAGACCTCATTTAGGTCCTAAACCTTTCATTAAGTGAATAACTATAAATGTATCCCACTGGATTTCAAAAATCCTTATCTGTGAAAAGGAGATGAATTAAATGACACTGGAAGTTCCTCCAACTGATAAAAAAAAGCCTGTGTATCTTTAAACCTAAGTGGATGGTGACTCAGTGGATTCTCAAAATGTGTAATAGCCCTTAGGTCTCAATTAATTAAAATTTGTTTAATTCAATATTCATTAACAATCTGTCTGAAGTCTCACAAGTCAAAGGAATTCTATCCCATCAATATGAATAATCACTTACATTAAGTAATTACATTTTTTCTTTATACATTAACCAAATCTAAATTCTATTATATAAGCAGTTTCTTATGAGAGTTTTCCCCTTAGTATCTGACTGCCACTCCAGAAATCAATAACAATTACATTTATAAATCTAATTATGATTTAGGTGAATAACAATCTCATCGATCCTCAACCAATAAAACCTACCAGATCACTACTATAGTCATAAAAACTTTGTTTTGATCCACAATTTTCTACCAGACATACATTTAAGATAAATTTACTTGTAACCAAACCACAGAGTAATCTAGATTACTTGATGCTTAAACCAATGACTTCTAACAAACTTGCAGTGAAACAGGTACCTGAGATACAGTTAAGCAAAAGGTGGAGAATTATAAACAGATCATATAATTAAAAAATTAAAAAGTATAAATGAAGCCAGTATCAAATGTGCTCTAGCATGATATGCTGCCTGGAACTGAAAAGAAAGTATTCAGTGAAAACAAGATAAAAATATTACCTACCTGTGCAATACCAATTAAAAAAGTACACTGACAGAAGGGACTGAACAGCCACACTAGTGACTTGGGAAAATTTTCCATGAGGACTATCAAAAGACCAATAAATCCAAAAGCCACAGTGACTAAAAATTCAACTATTCCCACATGTTTTGATTTTTTAAAAAGAGGTGTCAGCATTAAAGCAAAAAATACCTATAAAATATGAATATTAATATTAATGCAACATTCATATACACTGATATGAAAACAAATTAAATTTTGCTTGTAAAAGAACAAATTTTCACTGAAAAATATGCTCATTAAAACAAATTCTAAATGCTATAGTAAGATATTTTAATTTCATACAAATAGTAATCGATAAATACTAAAAACTACATCTTATCTCATCTTATCTACACAATAGGATATACTACAGCAACCATAAATAGTGTTTCTACAGTTAGAGGTGTGTATATATGTCAAAGAATAAATCAACAAGCCTTTAAATACAGAACCCATCTTTTAAACATATGTGTTGATAAGACAGAAAACCAGTTAAAAACCAGGCGATTAATATAGAAGTGTATGAGTTCTTTGTAAATGATCATGTTACAGAGCAGAGCTAGTAGTCAAAATATTTAATAGCTGGGACAGCATAGGCACAAAGGCGAATCAGAAGGGGAATTGGAACCACGTGTAACAGGTTGGTCACTAATAGCAAGTTTACCACACAAGTATCAGTTTACCACACAAGTATCAGTTTACCACACAAGTATCAACCGTAGCTTCATTAACAAAGAACTGTGTTTCAAAGACATATCTTTACACATCATCATCCTATAACATAAGTAATCTGAAATAGGATTTCAGGAAAACAAAGGGGGAAAAAAAACAGTACCAGACAATCTTAAATACACATACTAGTATATGAAAATAGTGGAAGATAGACTCAAAGGAATTATATGTGAAACGCATCATATGAAAACAAGTTAACTGAAACTTGAAGCTATTTTGCATCTTATCAAATAATATGAAGGTACAATGATGCTATATACAAGCCAATCTGTCTTTCACGAGAAATCAACTATAAGTAAACCAAACAAGACTCTGCTTCATTAATCAAATACCTTGACAGTTCTTTATAACCATTTTCAAGTTAAAATACTTACAGATGATAATCCATACAGGAAAAAAAGTAGAAATATCACAACGCAGCTACTCTGAGGAAATAACGAAGAAGCTGTTGCAATGACTGCCATAATGAGGGACATAAGAAAAATCAAACTTGTATACAGAAGAACCCAGGAAAGCCTAAAATGACAATACAAATACATTTATGGTCAAATGCATAAACTTAAGCAGTTAAGAAAAATCACTTTAAACAACTCTTCACCATTACGTTAGCCATTTCATTCTTTTTTTTTTTTTTTTTTTTTTTAAATATTAAATTTTATTTTTATATTCATTCTTAAAATTAGGTTAATCTATTAACTTCTGTATATGCACATGTACTGAAAATGAACACTTCTAAAATTTTACAGTTTTGGTTGTTATAGGCAAACTTATTTATAGATATATTTACATACATGTAAATATAGATATAGTGAAAAAATGGTATCTTGCTAAGAGTCATAAAAAACTTTATACAAATTGACAGTAGTCATGCATGGTTGATTGTAATCTAATACTCTTTTGAAAGTTCTATAATGTACATCACTACTGATTTTCTTAAAACACATAAAAAAGTAGTGAGTAAGAATTTTCTTCATGGCATGTGCTACAATTACACTTCTGAGGACTTTCCGTGCTCCAAACAATACAGGGTTCCTCATTAATCAACACCATAGTAACTATACTTATATAATGCAAGATCAAGATCAACAATGAATTCACTAAATTTTCTCAAAATTTTCCTCAAATCAGAGCTCAATGGAATTGCTACAATAATTAGTTTTCTTTTTATTTTTAAGGCTAAGAGATCATGATTTAATTTTTAATATGATACCATCACTGAGAAAGGGCTAAAAGATACCTAAATTACCAAAATTGAATCCATCATTATAGAGGCAAAAATGAGGCACCAAGAGATTGATATGCCTAAATTCTTCAAGTTACTATTTCCTCACAAAATACTGTAATAACCCCACACATCTTAAAAAATTATCACTACAAAAACAACATGAGGGAAAAATGAGCAAGAAATGTTATAAACAATGTCCCCATTATGTAAAGTGTTATAATTAGTTGTTGCAATGGATTAAAGAAATAAAATTTTGTTAAGTGAACTATAATGGCAATTCACATGCACAATATTAACTTTTTCCCCAAAATGAGGGAAAAAATAAATTATCTTACAGCATAGTGGGAAGTTAAGAATAATATACTTACAATTATTTACAAAACTGCATGCATGCCTCTATAAAATTATCACTGTGTAATAATGCTAATACATTAACACTTGCATGTGCAAAAAAATTTTCATTTGTTTCTCTGAAAATTATTTGTGGGGCCTCCCTGGTGGTGCAGCGGTTGAGCGCTGGGTTGCGAAGCTGCCCGCAGCCTCTGCAGCGCTGGTTCGTTCCCCAGCTGCTCCCCGGCCACGGGAGGAGGGTCCCACATGGCGCGCAGACCTCTCCTGCCGCCCGCTGCTCCCCTCAGCAGTGTACTTCCGTCCTTCTGCCTGTTCTTCTCCCGCTCTGACTCTGGTGAATTCTCTCACCCTCCCGCGCTTCTGACTGTACCCAGTGCTTGTATAAATAAATAAATAAATAAATAAATAAAAAGAAATCTTAAAAAAAAAATTATTTGTGATTTGTCTTAATTCACAAAAATAACTATTTCCAGGGGGAAAAAGCCCACAAGCCACAGAAACATCGATCATTTTAACAAAATTTTTACTGAGATATCTTGTGTGATGGTAATGCAGAAGACAGTAACAGGTAACTAATTTTTACTTTTTCAAGATCTTGTATTTTCTTAACACTAACATATATACTGAAGTACATGGAGCACATCTCAGTGATTCAAACAAAATAGGAAATAAAAGTAAAACATGTAAAATAAAGATGAGCTTTCCAACTCCTAATTCCTTTAGTCAAACAAGTAAATGCTAAAAGCCTGTTGACTAGTGTCATATTAAAAAAAGTCAGTCATTTTATGAAAACAGGATCAGCACCTTATCAAATCAGATGGATAACAAAATTACATTTCTTAAGATTTGTACATTTAATATAATTATTAATTATACTAAGCAATAAACTTTTAATAACATACCAAAAGGCAGTGTCATGAAGTCCCATTATCTTTAAAAACTCTTTTAACTTTTTCTCTTTTTCTGCTACAATATGAATTGCCAGAAAGTATCCAAAAGGTGAAAATGCTATAACTAGGTATATTAAGATTACTCCTCGGGGGAAGGTATCTATTTCTACAACAGCAGTTTCTCCCATAATAACAGCTTTAGTTGACTCCAGCTCCTTCCAAAGAGAAACATTGGTCTTCAACTATAATTAAAAAATGTAAATACATTCAATTAATTTAGTTCTGATAGTAGTCCCTAATAAAATGTGACAATTGTACCCCAAACTTTAGATAGTAACCTAGCACAAAACAGAAATCCTCAAAAAGCTAGACACCTAAAATAAAGCTGTATTGTGATCCTGACTTCATGGTACAGAGTTGAAGAATGCTTTCATTCATTTTGGAAGCATACATAAAGTTAAAGTCTAAAGTTGGAAAGTATAAATTTTGATTAAATAATTTATCAAAGCACATAAAGTTGAACATTATCATCTTAAGCAGACAATTAGATGTATCTTAACAAAAACATGCATTTATAAAATTGAGGAATTAAGAAATGATAATTAGTGCAATGAAAGAATGGTTCATTAAAAAATATTATTTTAAGTAGCATGCCCTATTATCTTAAAATCTATTATGCAGCATGTAAAGATAAAACTGTAATACTATGTACACCATATGAAATTTTTAGTGCTCAACTGAATGTCTAAATGAGATCTGCTCTGCTTATTCAGCCAGTGTGCTCTGGGTTGTGGATTACTAAGATCTTTGGCTAGAATACAAATAAGTACAATGAGATCATCAATGTAATATGTCTTATAGTTCACTGCCTTTATCTTAAACTTTTGTTACTGAATTTTTACATTATCCATCTACAGTACACTTATATTGGATATTTACACACAATTCTCTCTATATATATATACCATCTCATTTCGTTCTTACAACCTTGTAAAGAAAACATGATTTATTGTAGTCATTTTACTACATTACTAATTAACAACTAACAGAGATAGGTCTCTTTGAGATACCCTGTTCATTTCTACCAAAAGGTAAAACAAAGGGTCAGATCTAACCATGTCTTTGATATAACCATAACATTTACACACAATCCTAGTGGTAATATAGTATTGAAACGCAGTTTCAAGAAACAGTACTTGGCAAATAAGTGATAAATGCGTGTCAAATTTAAAAATCTACAATTATAATTAAGATAATAAAGATATTCACTTTCTAAGCTATTTTTATTACAGGAAAAGTCTGCAAAAATCTATCTTTCATATTACCTATGATCAACATAGATAAAATAAAACAGGTGTAGAGAATGCAGAATCATATGTCTAGAAATTATTAAGAAAAGTTTCAAAAAATATTAAATCAGAAAATATGACTTCCTCCTTATCTTTGTTCTTAAAGGAGTTGTAATAAGTTATGTATTTTGTATGTTGGACAATAGTCAAACCAAATTCCATTATAAAAGCTAGGACATTTTAAAGCTAGGGTGTAATGGTTAAAATATGGTTTGGCTTTATTTTTCTCACTTTCTCATACTTACCTGTATAATGGCAGCATCTATGGATGCTTGTAAAACTGTGAACCCTGAGGTCCAGTACTGAGCAGCCTCACATGATTTTGAACAGCCAGCTAAGGGGGGAAATTATGAGTTACTAGATTTTGCACAATACCAAAGTGCTTTCTTTTAAAGATATCATATGGAAAATTACCAAAGTAAAATAACTAATCAATCTCTATAGAATCAATGAAAATAAATAACTGCCCTTCACTAAGAAACAACATCTAGCACATCTGAAGTTTTTGAATGGTGAATGAATACAAATGAAAGTTCATTTCTTTTAATAAACACAGTTTAATTAAAATAAGTCACTTTTCTGTTTTAAGGTCATACTGTAATGATTTGCCAGCTTCAAAATACTGCCAATTCAGGTTAAAAGAACAGGAAAAAAATTTCTATAAGGGGTTTATGGAATCAAGTTGCAAATTCAGTACTTAGCATGGTGACTTTAACATTGCTTAATAAAGGTTTGTGGCTCCTAATATCTCTTCAAATATTTAAGAATTGAAGGTTGTTATCATTGTTTCAAATATAAAATTAATAGAGCTCATTTGGTAGAAGATCTTGAGATTTTTAAAGATATGTAATCTACTATTTCATATGTGACATAATTACATTAAAATTACGTCATATGTGACATAATTACATTAAAAAAATACAGATTGAGAAAGTCACATAATTCAAGATACCATTCATTTTGCTTTATGTTACTGTAATCAAAATAATATTGTATACAAAATTAAAATAAGTACATAAATTTTATATTATCTGTAGACATACATTTTGCTATACTTAACATTTTTCTTATCTGCATATATTTGTACCCTATCAAATTCTGCATATGAATTAAAAGCACAGAGATACTAATTAAATTGACTTTCAGTTATTATTGAGGGCTGTTTACCTCTTGAATCCATATAAATAGGAGCTACTGGAATCATATCAGGAAAAAAACGGAGTTCATAGGACATGAAGTCTTTGAAAACCACACCGACAAAGTTGCTGGGCTTAGAAAGACTGGATGCTATCAATTCTTTTTCTGTTGTATATTCTTCAGTAATTATAACTATAAAATATTATAACAATGTAGTTAACTCACAGGTTAAAATAGTTTACTAAAACATATCAAATTTAGCATTATATTTGATGAATGTAGTATTTTATAAGTTCTTTTGTTTTATTCTCTAACTTCTAGTAAATGAATACTCAATAAAGAAAAGTGAAAGAATTTTAGTTTTACACACTATTTCACAGCTGTGATTTGATTACATAAATTGTCAGCATAATACATTACTAACATATTTAAGTATAGCATAAACTTTACTGCAGTATTATGCAATTCATTTAGTTGTGTTGAAGTTAACTATAGAAACAAACTCCTTGCTAAATATTTTATATTCATGTATTTCTTAAGAAAAAAATTCCACAATTCTCTGAAACTAAAAATGTAACTATGACACAACTATTCTTTGAACAAAAATTTCCTATTTGTTCCTTACTTAGAAGATATATATAAGTAAAAAATACTGTTATCATAGCTGACCTTCATTTCACATTAGATAATTTTAAGTTTTAAATATTTTTGTAAAGTTTTATTTACAAGCAACTTATTTTCACCACAGACGTCTCAGAATATGTGGTGAATGAACACAAGATTGGTATTTCTCAAAATCTCTGATCAGTTTTTTGAGCTGGCCTGCTAAATTCTTATGGCTATCTAAGCTACTTATACTTAATATAATAAAGCAATAAATATTATTATAAACCAATAAAATATGTGTTTGATAAAAATATTAAATAGTAAAACAGGGGAGAAGTTATTTGGCTCTTGATTATATAGACATCATCTATTTAGTGATGCATTATATACAATAATGTGCTGATACACACTGGAACTAATTACAACTATCCTATATGACAAAAGACATGTAAAACTGTCATTTTTTATAATTCAGCACTTTATTAAATCAGTTATCATGGTATAAACATTTCTGTCACTTTTGCCAGTTCTTGCCTCCAGATCTTTCAGTCCCTTTGGGCTCAATAGTGTCTCACCACTTACACTGATTTCCAGTTCAGTTCACTTCTTTGTGAAAAGTACAATCTGAGAAAAATAGTTACGTACTTAGTCACAATCATAGTCTCCAAAACTAAGTACCTCTGCAGTAGACAACATATATATAGGGCAATCTGATAGGGCAAGCTGATGAGTATTGTTTTATAATCTTTATCATATATTTCTAGCTTGTTAATTATTATAAGTCAGAGTCAAAATGAAAAATTCCTTGAAATCATTTATTCTATACAGATATATTTAATGAATTAAACAGAAAATACTAAAACATATAATATAGGCTTCCTATCACCAAGCTTCTAAGCAAAGATTTCATGAAAAACATATGGGAGCAGAATTAAATAATTGTAATATTTTATGAAATTATGCTTTTGTGAAGGAATATGCCTCTAAATGTTAAGAAGGTGATTTACTTAATAAGCAAGCAGAAAAACAATGAAGAGCCTGTCCAATATAAACTGTGTAAGTCACAGTACCATCTGACAGGTGCTCCGTAGAAACCATCTGCATGATGTTTCTTGTAACATTAATCACTGGAGTGTAACCAAGAATTAGGTGTGAAATGAGGGATTTGTCCATAGGGTTAAGTTCCATATCAGGCACTTCTTCATATTTCTTATTCGGATGCATCATGCTAATTAATATTAACCAAAATAAAAAAAATAATGGAAATAGAATTTCCTGGAATAAAGAAAACAGACAAATTGTGATGAAGTAAATAAGGGCAGCAAAAATTATCAGGATTTCTATGTAAATAATGTAGTATTAAGAAAAACATGAAGAATTTGCATCTAATTACCTAAAGAGGTATACTTCATCATTTTTCCTTTACATTCAGTTTTACTGAAATATTGAAAAACTCAAGTTACATAATAAATGTAAATGACATAAAAGCTAATATTCAAACATCCTAGGTTACTACTATAAAATATAATAATAAATTTGCTCATGAGTTATTTTATTTATATATTAATATTTTATTGATTTATATTTATTTCTGATAAAATATAAATTAATTACCTATTTTCGTAAACATTTCAATTAAAGTAAATTACAAATATCCCTAACAGCAATCATCATAAAATTTCTTTATTCAATTCTGAATTAAAGCACATCCTTTAATTATACTTATGTTTCTACTATTAAATCTCAACTGAGTTAGTCTGCTTTAGGAAGAATAAATTATTTCATCTTGCTTTATAATTGCTGTTGGTTTCAAGGGAAGTTGAATAATTTATTTTCATCCTTTGAAATTATTATGAACTGATTAGTCATTGTTCATTCTTTCTTCTACCTTTAAAAGTAACATGCTTATAAGTACAAATATGTGGTGTATTTTAGTAATCGTGGGCTATTCAATCCTGACTCCAAAATAATGGGAGGTCGTGGGGAAAGAACTGTGGAATACTGTTCAACGAAGCTGTCTGGAGAATGTGGAAACTTGGAAAATGCATGCCTAAAAGTTTAAATTTAAGCAATGTCATCAGAAATTAATTTTTTTTAATTAACTAAATTTAGAAATCATTAAAATTTGTAACATTTAGAAAAACATTAGGTTATTTGCATGCTCTTCCATGGCTAACATGTCAAAATTTTATTCAACAAGAAAATTAAAGAGATCTAAAGATATAAAATTATAATAAATGTGTACCAGCAAAATAAGTCACCTCTTAAATATGGAACATATCAAAAACTTAACAAGACACAAGGAAGAGACATTTAACTTACCTGAACACTACTTTTTTTAGTCCTGCATTTAATTAGATAATTCTTCAATAGGAGAGTTCTGGTCTGTCTCCAAACTCCCACCTCTCTAATTGCTGTAGCCATTTCTTCTGGATCAGTCTATTAAAAGGGGAAGATTAAAAAAAATGGGGGGAACCACAGAGTAAGGTAAGGTACATACCACTACTACCAGCACAAACAAATGTTTCAGTCTACAGTTCAATGTTGTTAAGCATACTCTAAGCTGTCTCCTACTGAACAAACTGCAGGAAATAGCAATTTGAAGAATCTGAGGAGTAAAAAGTAGCATGAGAAACAAGGGGGACCATAGTTCAGAATACCACCCAACCTGAACTTACGGCCACTTTTCCTTTCTGTACCTCCCAAACTAAATGGACCGGAAGGAGAGACCCGGGTACAAAGAGAGGTCCAAATGCACTCTAGTTCTGGTTTGAGAAGGAAAAGAAAGGCTTCTATTCAGGGAGAATGTGGAAGTACCCAAGCTGTTTTCCTTTTCTGTATTTTCCTGTGCTGCTGTCCCCAAACAATACCAGGTGCAGCAATGAAAGCTTAATGGAGCCAAAACTCTTGAGGCAGGTGAAAGTTTTCCATTAAGTGGAAAGTTTCTCCATTAAGTGGAACCATGATTCCTAAGGATGGTACCAAATCCCATTGCTTTTATCTCCACCTCTTGTACTTGGGCCCTGAATGTTGTGTATTTGGTTGCAGAAGTAGGTGATCCAATGGGATAAATAAACCGTAATTTCTGGTTGCTAGATGGAAAAGAGACGCTACAGGGAATCAGAAAGTAGCAAAGAGAACAAATAAAAAGAGGAAGTTCAGGAACAAGCCAATGAAGTTGTATATTTTTTTAAATTTTTTTTTAAGATTTATTTTTATTTATATAAGTGCCGGGGTCCAGGCCAGGTGCTTGGGAGGGTGAGGGGATTCACCAGAGACAGAGCGGGGAACAGAACAGGCAGACTGACGAAATACACTGCTGAGGGGAGCAGCAGGTGAGACAGGAGAGGTTTGCCGCACCACGTGGGATTCTAGTGGGCTGGCTGCGATCGAGCCCGTGCTGCAGACAGCTTCACAGAGCTGCGCTCAAGTGCCTGTGCCACCAGAGAGGCCCTGAAGTTGTTTATTAACTCCTGGATTTTCTCCCAAGCTGGGCATACATAGATCTAATTCTACTCTGTGTATCAGAAACTTGAGGAACTGAACTAACTGACCACTGCACAGACCCACACTGGTCACTGGGTGGCACACACAGAACAGGCTCAAATTGTAATGCAAAGACTTGGAAACTAAACTGGAATAAGAACCACAGCTCAATGAATGTGAGTGGAAACTGACTTGAACCTAATCAGGTTGACAGAAGAGTACAATAAAAGAAAATAACACCACTCTCCATGGGTGTCAGAATCTCATATAACCCAACTTCAGTAAATGAAGCATGTGAGAAATACCAACTCTATTAAGTAAAGAAAAGCAACAGATTCTAATGCTTAGATGACACAGACTTTGGAATTATCTGACAAAAATTTTAAATCAGCTACTTTAAAAAGTGTTCCAGCAAAAATTGGCAAACCCGCTTGAAAATAGTGAAAAATAGAAAATCTCTGCCAGGAAACAAGACGAAGTATCACCAAATAGAATTTACAACAGAAAAACAATGTAGCAAAGCCCATATAGTGGGTTCAACAGCAGAATGAATGCAATAGAAAAAGAGTCAAGAGAACTTAAATATCTAGTAATAGAAGCTATGCAATCTGAACAAGAAAGCAAAAAAATCTTTTTTTGTGGGGGGGATAAAAACAAAAGGTCTAACATTTATGTTATCAGAATCCCAAAAGGAGAGGAAGTGTAACTATCAAAAAAAAATTTTTTAAGAGTTAATAGCTAAAAACTTTCCATATTTGGCAAGAGATAAAAACTTATAGGTTTTTTACTTCAAGAAATCTGGTGAATTCCAAACAGGATAAATCAAAGGAACTTCACATCATAATCAAATTGCTAAAAATTAAAGACAGCTTAGGTCAAATAAACATCCTTTTTATGTCCAGAAGAGATTTTTTTTTAATTTAAGAGGATTATAAACAATATTTAGCTTCTTTGTGTTTTTTCTCTATTTTCTCAATTCTCTAATCAACATGTTACTCATATAATAAAAAAGTAATCATATAATTAGATAGACTATAAAAATATTAAATAAGTACATTGAAATAGCAAAACTAGTCAAAAAATGGATCATACACAAAAAAAGAAATCTTCCAGCAGCCTCATCAATGTTACATGAGATTCTATAAAGAACTGATAATCATCTCTAGGCCAATTAAAAAAAACACTTGTTCAAGGATGATTTAGTACAAAACAAACAGACACAATAACCAACACAGCAAGAACATTCTCAAGTTACCTCCAAAACACATTGATTTAGTGGGGACCACTGAATTATTCATTCAAATTGAAAGCTGCATGTTCAGTTCAATTTAAAAAAAAAAAAAAAAACAACAAAAACCAAGCCCTTATAGAGAAGCCAATGAACCCACAATATTTTTCCTTCTGTAAGAACTGCTCCCTAAGCTCCAACTTGTCTTTAATAACCTTGTATAAAGTCCATGAATTTTCTATCCATCCCAGAGTTTTTACATAGACATATATATGCATACATATAATCAGTTTTTTACCACGAGGTATAATATATAATACTGGCTATAAGTCTGTGATGTATGTCCTTTATTATGCCAAAGTATACCCTTCTATCATCATTTCTTAAGAGTTTTTAGTGATAAATGGGTGCTATCTCTTATCAAAAGCTTTTTTTGCAGCTATTGCTACTATCATGTGGTTTCCACCCTCCCTTTCGTTCATGTATTATATTAAGAAATATGTAAATGTTAAACCATCCTTGCATCCCTATAATAACCCCAACTCAGTTATGAGATTTATGGACTTTGTAATGTACTGCTGAATTTGATTTGCTAGTATTTTGTTGCAAATTTTCCTATCTATATTCATCAGAAGTAACGTACTATTGCTCTTTTATGTGATGAGATGTGCACAACACAGCAGCAAGATACAGAGAAAAGCCTCTGTTGTCTAGAGGCACAGGTAAGCCAATCCAGATGACCGGTTGTTACGTGGCAGTATAGTTTTCCAGAAGTAGAACCTTTTGTTCTGCACACCAACTGTGTGTGCTCCCTCTCCAACAGTCCCTGAAAAGTCCCTGATGTGAGCCCCTCAGTGGACAGACAAGCTTTGTATTAACTGTCCCTCCCTTTTTTGGGTTTTGCTGCCCCACTAACATTCCAGACACAATTATACTTCAATTTTTCATACCCTCTCCTCTTTAAGCATAAGGTGGTCATCCAGTTGTCTTCTGGAGGCCTTCGCCTTTATTTATATGTAATTTCGTTGTAAATATGGGAAGGAGGTAAGCCTGGCTTCTTCATTCTTTTGCCATCTTGCCAGGCTCTTTGCCTTCAGTTTTATATCCTTTCCTCCAAAGCAAAAGGTGCTTTCATGTAGTGTTCCGCTAGCCCGAGCTCTATTCTCGAGGTAGCTTTTTTCCTCATCGTTTTTTCCTTAGTCAGAAAGTCCTGCCCTACTTTGTGTGCAGGTCTTCAGGGAGTACTTTCTACCTACTGACTAGCGTTAAGTTGATTCATCTTGATGTGTCATCGCTTTCCTTCAAAAAGATTCAAAATCAACACGCACATAAGCTGAGCTAAGAATTTATTTGAAATTTACTAAACTTTGATACTTCAAAGTTTAATTTCTATTTGGAATTAAAATACCTTTTTAAGAAGAGCTTTACCTACCAAGTAAAATTCCAGCTTGAGCACTTCATCTCCTTCAGTCTGGAATAATGAATGTGGACGTTTAAATTGAGAGGCAGTGCCAACCGGAAGAGATGGCTGACTTCCAGCAGTCTCGCACCACACTCTCCTCCCCCAGCACACACACTCAGACAAAACAGGCTACAGTAAGCCCAGCCAGCAGCAAATACGCTGAAAAGAATCTCATAAAGATAACATAGAAACCCGAATCAGTAAACATTTACAGAAAAACAATACCATGAAAAGAAGGCAAGAAGATCAACAAACACAAGAATTAATAATGCCTGAAGCAAGCCTTTAAGAGTGTGACCTCTGGAACCAAACCCACTAAGCATGAATCCTGCCTCTGCCACTGATAAGCTTTAAGACCCTGGGAAAATTACTAATCTGCTGAGTCTAAATTTTCTCATCTGTAAAATGGAGAAATAAATAGTACCCAGTTTTCTGGGCTGTTTGAATTAATAAAACAAAGTGGGAAGATGCCTGGCACAGGGTAAGGTCATCACTACTGTGTATACACGTAGTGGAACAAATATCTTAAAAGGGATAGCAAAGAATATGATATTAATGAAACAGTAACAAAGCAACTAAGAAAAAGTTCTCTGCTAGAGAACTTGGAAATGAATTGGATGGACAGAAAAATCTTAATAGATAGTGTAAATGGCATCTGAGGGCAAGCTGATGAGTTAGAATGATCTAGACTTCAGTCTGAAATCCCAAGAGTGAATGGCAAATGAACAAAAGAAATATAAAAGGAAAATATAAAATCTGCTATGAGTGTATGTAATTTCATATTACATATATGTATAATTATAGTATAATGACTGACCTAAACAAGCTGATGTTTTTCTTATATTCATAAGTTTTAGTCTAATCATGTGAAAATGATACATTTTATGACCTTGAGTTTCCATCTATTCATGTTATTAAAATGAAATATTAAGAAGAAAACACAAGTGACTGCTTATTTTCTTCATGTGAAACACTTGGTTTGGCACTTTGATTTTTAAAAATGAAACATTCGGGTCTTCCTGGTGGTGCAAGGGGTTAAGACACACACTATGAAGCTATCCACAGCCACTGCAGCGCAAGTTCGATCCCCAGCCAGGGAGGTGACCCACATGGCGCAACAGACCTCTCCTGACTTGCCTGCTGCTCCCCTCAGCAGTGTATTTCTGTCAATCTGCCTGTTCTGCTCCCTACTCTGTCTCTGGTGAATCCTCTCACCCCCCGCCATTTCTGGCCTGTACCCCAGTTCTTGTATGCATAAATAACTAAATCTTAAAAAAAATAAAAAAATAAAAATGAAACAGTCCTCACAAGAAGAAAAAATTTTTTAACAAATATGGTGATGAAAGGTATCTATACTTAACTGGAGTGATTATTTCACAATATATAGAAATACGTAACGGTACATCTGAATCTAATATAATGTTATATGGCATTATTTCTATTGAAAAAATTCTTAACCTTGATTCTTTGTAAATCTTTAATTTAATGTTCATCTAATAAGTGACTTCTAAGCTATAGTCAGGTCTTGTAAACTAACAATAAACCTAATTTGCCCTCCTCAGCCTTCACAACTCAGTATCTAATCAGGTTCAATTTGAAAAGGGCTATGGGGAATAAATCAAGCGAGGACTGTTCCACATAATAATGTCAGGTACTAACTCCTCTGTAAAAGATTCCTTGCAAATTTTGCAAATTATAGTGTGTACAGGAAAATATTCTTCTTCAAGTGCTGAGACCACCTTATCTCTGAAAATTAATGTTTGTCATTTTGGGGGGAGGGTTTTTTTGGGGGGGCAGGAGGTTGCCAGAGAAAAAAGAAAGAATTAAAAAGGGCAGTCTACAACTCACACTTCCATGCCCCACTGTTCTGCAGGGTTTGCAATGGGAAGATGGGACGGCAGAAGGATCTGGGAAGACAGAGTCTTCCAACTTGAAGAACTCAGCCAAAGAATGGTGTCTGAAATGAGACCCACTCTTGCTAGTAAGGGAATGAGGTTTCCTGAAAGAAAGGGAGCGATCCACCCACAGAAGTGGCCCGAAAGTTGTGCCTCTGACAGAAGTGTTCACCTGAGAACAGGACCGCAAAGCTAGGAATGATGTATGGCCAGCAAGGGGACAGCTATAAAGAGGTTCCTGTCCCAGGTCCTTTTCCTGAACCAGAAGGAAACTCGTATTTCAGCACAGAACTCTCAATTTCCTCTTTCTGTGCTATTATTCCCTTTAGTTATCCCAAATGTTGTAGTTTTATGTTGGTGTTTGAAAGAATGAAAGTAAAAGTTAGTGAAAGATGCCCGGCCTACCTCACTTTTTAACACTGGCTGTTAAGTAGGAACAGAATCGTACAGAAAATATCCTGTATTTCACCTATTAGTTGTAGAGTTTATAGAAGCCTATGGATGAGTTGGAAATAGCAGAGCGGACTATACATCATTAAAAAGCAACTTTTTGAGTAGATAAAGATAAAATCTCTTTTGCAACTATATTAGAAGATGATCCTTAAAAACACAATAATGGAAATACACTGAAACTTCTAATGAATTATTTTTAACAAATCATATTTTCTAAAAAATGTATAATAATTGCTATAATTCCAACTCAAAGTTTTGCCAATGCAGTAGTTTTAAAAACTCTTTAATGACGCCAAGAAGGGTAGAGATTTTTCTTCTTTTTTTAAATTTTGTTACTTTGCATTTGCTCCACAGTATATCTGGGGAATACACTGTTTATGGTAGGGCCTTAAATAAAAATTAGAAAGTTAGATACTTATACACGAAAGATTTAACCAAATATGTAACTCTCTGCTAGGTATTCTCCTAGATAAAATTATTCACACTAAATCTAAGAAATTGCAAGAAAACATCAAAGTACTGAAGTCCATCTTTCATTTCTAATGTACTAATCGACTTTAAAAAGAAGTCACATAATTCAAAATTCAACATCAAAAATTCATTCATTAAAGAATTATTGATTGCAACATTACACATGCTATGAAACGTTCTACATTTCTCAAAACAACCAAAATTGAACATGACCTTTAGAAATAATTGTTAAAGAAAAAATTAGAATATACGGGTTTTATTTCTGAGAGAACTTAATAAAGATTGTATCCAATAAAATAAGGCAATTAAGTCATCCTCATGTTGACAGTCATCCTAGTAAGAGAGACAGTCAGTCACTTTCTCAGGATGCTTAGCTGAAAATGCATTCCCCATCTGCCAGGTGACTGTCAGACCTACTTCTGGCCAATACAAGTAAAACTTATTATCATTCCTCTCTTCCACATCTATATCCAATTAATAAATATGACTGCAAGTTATTAAACTGTGTCCTTTGTTTACATGTCTTAAATCTTGAACTTGACCCTGAGACCCTTGACCAAAAAGAGAGGCTTATTTATCTTTGCTTCTCTACCACCCATGGTAATATTATAGCCAATATCATCTTATTGCAAATTCCTTATCAAGGCCTGCTGAAGTCCTCAGAGATCAAAGATCTACAAATAACACAATAGAGATGATTAGGTAAATGCATTCACTGTTTTGTACAGTCCATGAGTTTAGTGTTTTTTTACATTTTTAAAAGGTGTGGGGAAAATAATATTTTGTGACATGCAAAAATTATATGAAATTCAAATTTCATGTCTATAAAGTGTTACTGGAACCCAGCCATATTCATTCACTTCTGTGTTGTTTATGACTGCTTTTGTGCTAAAACTGAGGGGTGAAATATTGAGACAGAAACCATATGGTCTGCAAAATCTAAAATATTTACTATCTGACTCTACAGAAAAAGTGTACTGATCTCTGTTACGGAATAAAGGAATAAGAAAGAAAAGCAGCATCTTCGTTTAGCATTTACTAGGGATTTATGCACCAAATAAAATTTTTTTAAAAAAGAAAACAAGTTGAACGCTCACTAACTTTGAAGATAGACAAAATTTAATGCAAAATGAGACTGATGGTCTAAGTGAGGGAAAGAAGAGAATGGAGGTTCCAGGCAGAGAGAAAAAGAGAACAGAAAAGCCAGACTCCCAAAAGGGTTGACTTACATAAGAAAATCTGAGATACAGCAGAGGATGGGCAAAGAGAACCTGGGCAAAGGGTATAAGCTAGTATAAGCGCTAGATAACACTGTAAGGACAGGCATTGAAAACGATCTTTAAAATACCTTGTATGTAAAATTAGATTCGGTACCTTCATTTTGTGCACCCACATATAGCACCCTATATTTCCTCCACTACACTTTTCATACCTAAGAGTAATTAATTGCCTAACAATCATATTATTTCGCTAGTCCATTCATTCTCCAATTCCCAAATCTCCAAAGCTTTCACTGCATTATTACTACTTCATTGAGGAAACTGAAGCAATCAGAAGAAAAATTCCCCAATCTCCCAACATCCTTTATATAGCCACAGACCTAGCCCTGTGTGTAAGGTGCCATGAACATATTTCTACAAAGTGCTGTTGCGGCTTAAAGATTGTTTTCATTAAAATTTTGAACCACAGAAGTCTAAATGGAATCTGCTATTAACTATACTTCTAAGATTTATTCTTTTGAAAGAAGAGGCTATGAACAGTATATGAAAGAGAAGATTAGGAACGGTATTTGCAGGTGAACAGTATTTGCAGAATTCCCCACATCATGGCTTCTCAATTAATAAAACAAAAGCACTATAAAAATCAAGTCTTTTAACTCAGCAGGGGATAAATTATAAATGTTCTTTCTTCTCGGGCCTTTTAAAATTCACAGGCAGAAGTGCAATAAAATACTAATTGTCGCTATTATTTACCCTAAATTTTATGACCATTATTTCTCGCGGAATGGGAAAATAATGCAATGGGACCCACCTGACAAATTATCCAATGCCTTTTCTTACATATAATAGGTCCCTAAAAGCCTGTGCTTTAAACAATTATTAACCCAATCAGTGAACACACTAGTAAAGATGACAATTTAGTAAAATATTACAAATTCGTGTTCGTGACATCCTCTCAGTTAAGATCAACAGCAGAAATTATAAATTGTATTTATCTTAGTAACCCTGGAGCACAACAGTTTCTGGGTTATAAAAGACATTCAAGGAACTTGGAATGATTTAATCCATTTTAATAAATTTCAAAGGTGGCCCCCACCTCCCTGCACTAAATCCCATTTGTAGGAAAAGACACATATTGCAGGTACCTCGTTAGTTCGATTTTAACCCAAATACCTCACCAGCCCTAGCTACCCTAATAATTTCTCTTGTATGGTCTTTTTTTTTTTTAAGATTTATTTATTTATGCACAAAAATAAATAATGTCGCTGCCTGGGCAGACAGGCAGAGCAGCAGAGCAGCGTGGCCACCCTCGGTCTGGGATCTCAGCTCGACCATCTTGCAAGCTGGGGCCTCACTAGGTGACTTACCCTCCTGCGCCCCATTTTCCACCTCTGCCCCCCAGGATGAAAGGCGAGAACCCCGAGCCAGGAGCAACCCGCACATCCTTCTTTTCTCTCTTTCTGCCCCTTCGAAACGTCCTGGACGGGCACGAAACGTGATTTATCTTCTTCCCTTCAGACTCGCTTCCTTGCAAACGTCCCCCCAATCTGGGGAGGGGGTCGGGAGGAGCCCCCCACTCCACGGTCGCCCCGACGGCGAGCGGCGCCCCAGCCCACGGGGCTCCCCCGGGCGCCGAGGGACGTTCACTCGCGGGGCTTCTCTTTGGAGTGGGGAAGTGGGGTACGTGCCCCCCAAACCGGGTCAGGCGAGCTGCGCATTTTCGTCGCACCCCAACTCCTTTTAACACGCACGTAACCAGCAGCGCGAAGCCCCCCAGCAAGGCGCGGAAGGAGCCCGGGGCTGGGGAAGGGGCTTCCCGCTGCGCCCCCCAACGACGCCCCGAGGGGGGCCCTGCCCCGAGGGGGGCCCGACCCCGAGCCTCCAGAGTTCCCGGATCGCGGCGCCCCCTCAGCGCCCGGAACCCCAACAGGGCTGGCGGCCAAGCGCCCTGCTCCCCGCGGGGGCGCGCCCCGGGGTCCCCCTTAGCTCTCGCTCGGCCCCCTTGGGAAGCCCACTGCACCCCACATCTCAGACCCCCGTGTCCTCCCACCGCGCCCCGCCTCTGCTCTCCCGCCAGCCCCTCAGCTGCCTGCTCGACCGCCCCGTGCGCCCCTCAGCCCCCGGCGGCGACATCCCGGCGCGTCCCGAGCCGCCGCCCCCGGCGCCCCTCACCTCAGGCCGCGGCCGCGGCGTCAGCAGCCGAGCGCCGGGCTGGAGGGCGCGGGGCGGCCGCGCTGGAGCTCCGTGAGAGGGCGCGGCCCCGCGCGCGCGCCCCCGCGCTCGGCCCGTGGCCCCGGCGCCGCAGGCTTGGCAGCGCGCCCGCGACGGGAGCGCGCGGCGCCGGAAGTCGCGCTCGGCCTCCCGCTGAAGGCACCTGAGGGCGGGGCGCTCGGCTCGGGCCGCGGACGCACGCGCTCCCGCTGCTCGGCCCCGCGCGTGCCAGCGCAGGCGCGGTAGGCAGCGCGCACGCGCGGGGAGAGAGCCTGGGGGCGGGGCGCGGCGGGGCGGGGCGGGGCCAGCGGGGGCGCGCGCCTGCCAAATCGTGGAGCGCTGGGAACCCCATCCCTGGGCGCTGGTCTCAGCCTCCTCCTTGGGGATCCGCCTTGGTCTCCCAGGCCCAGCCAAACAACAGGCTTAGGAAATGCAAATGGCCAACAGGCATATGAAAAATGTTCAGTATCACTTGTAATCAGGGAAATGCAAACCAAAACTACAATGAGATACCATCTTACACCAGTGAGAATGGCACATATTAAAAAAACTAGCAACAACAAATGTTGGCGAGGATGTGGAGAAAAAGGAACTCTCCTGCACTGCTGGTGGGAGTGCAAACTGGCCCAGCCACTATGGAGAGCTGTGTGGAGATTCCTCAACCTGCTAAAGTTGGAGCTTCCATATGATCCAGCAATTCCACTCCTAGGGATTTACCCAAAGGTATCTACTCAAAAGGGCACCTGCACCCCTATGTTTATAGCAGCACTATTTACAATAGCTAAACTATGGAAACAACCCAAATGCCCCCAAATAGATGACTGGATCAAGAAGATGTGGTACATAGACACCATGGAATATTACTCAGCAATCAAAAAAGAAAAACTCATGCAATTTGCAGTAACATGGATGGAGCTGGAAGGGATCATGCTCAGCGAAATAAGCCAGAAAGAAAAAGAAAAATAATACTGGATGGTCTCACTCTTAGCAGGAATTTAGAAAATCTAAATAAGGGACCAGGGAAAAGACTAATTATATTAAAGAAAAAATAAAAATCAACAAGCAACTATAAATCAGAGACACACTGAGGGGGAGAGGGAGTAGAGGAGGGATTAGGGTCAAAATAATGGGGGTGGGAATTGTATGGGGAATATAACCAAAATGAAAATGTATGCATTGTGCAAAAATGAAAAATGATGTAAGAATTATATAAAATAAAATACATTAAAAAAAAAAAAACAACAGCTTGAAGTCAGGAACTATGGTTTAAGCCCAAACCCTGCCACCTCATAGTGTGTGACTGAGGCCCGCTGGCCTCTCCTCATTTGCACCCATCACATCTAGTTTCAAGAATCCTTGCTTGCCAGTTCCCTGACCTTTGAAACTCTTCTCCCAGGACTGCATTTCCATGCACTTTGCAACCCTTTCTGCTTCCCGCTACAGAGTCTGGGGTGCAGTGTCCTCATCTCCATAGCTGATGCCCCTTCACCCATCAGACACCGACCTAGGGCTTCTGGACATTGAGGATGCTTTTAGTTTCTAAAGTGACCTCATGAGAGTCTGGGAATTTGATGGATCCTGAATTTCCCACACAGTCTGGGCATCTGTGGGAGATGTTATACCGCACTACTTTTGCTAAAATTAGAAGCTGATGTTTGGAATTTTATTGTCCAAAGTCACCTAAATGGTGGGATAAAGTTACTGTAAAGAAAAACTCATGACACGTGTGACAGAATTTCTCCCAATTTCTCTAGTCACACTTCTTTGCACAATTCTTTGTTCTTGGAACTTAAAAGAGTTTCTTCAAAATTCCATTGATCCTATGTAGAGCATAGATTTTTTTTTTTTTACTTATTATTATTTTCTGCATCTCAAATTTAAACCAAATCTGAGTCCTATTAGATATATAAATGTATTGCATATATTTGTATATATATGCACATGTATACACATATATATATATTTCAATAAAAAATCAGATGTTATTTAGCCTGCCAAACTAGGATTAGGAAATTCAAAGAAGTTCAGTAGAACTTCTGATGATTAAAAGTCTGATAATGGAGTGGGGGTTAGGGAGGAGACAGAACGTCCTAGAAGCTATACCAGAAAACTGAAGAATCCAGGTAATGACATCATTCATGATATTCTTTTCCTTTGATATAGCTCAAACATTTCACTTACAATTAATGGTCTAAGATGTACGGGCAAGTAAATTAAAGGAAGTCAAATATAAATAAACTTGGTAAAAATGTGTTGCTGGAATACACAATCACCCCAACTTTCCAATTGTATTTCTCACTAGTAGTTTAACCTGGTGAGAAGTCTAATCACTTCTGCCAGTATTCTAGGCATTTGTTTTCTGAGTTTCTTATCCTTGCAGCGTTCTCTGCCCTTCATTCTATCTGCTTATGCTTCAACTCTTCAAGATGACCACCAAAACCTAATTCTCTAAAACTCATCACTCCAAATAAAATAATGTATATTCCTCCAAGGACATGCATGCTATCATTTTTGTAAATATTGTATCTCTTCAATTAAATTGTAAGCATTCCCAGTATTGAGACCTTTTTCTTACACCCATTTAAGTTTCCAGATTTGATGCATCACGGTGTGTAGGAAATATTGATAATGCTACTGAAAATAAACATGTGCAAAAGTACACAAAGACTGTTATCATTATTCCCATAAAAATCATCACTCACTCAACAAAATTTACCTGAAAAAAGAAAGGGGAGGTATTAAATTCTTGGGGGATGGAGAACAGAATTATCATGATAATGTGGTTGTGGGAATAACAGAGAGAATGATAAGACATTTTAGTAAAAAGACCTCTATAAAATAGTGTATTGACTATGACATATTTTACTGTCTGAGCAGGTTACTTATCAGACTGCCTGTACCTTGTAACCATTTAGCCACACAATATCTCAATCTAAATTTCCATAGTTACCAGCTCCCATTACTAAGTAAGCAGCTGCAGGGAAGATGTTCCTTTCCAAGTTTCTGTATCTAGGAAATCGCAAACAAGCTATAACGCTTGGTTGTCATGGCGTAAACTCAAATCCCCATATCTCATTAATAGATTTTCAGACAAATAAATCATATGGGAATACACAGATCATAGGAGACATAGGCTGTGATTTAACAATTTGGCTGGCTGAGCAAAATAAATGTGAACTGGAATTTGGACAGTATTTAATGTAGAAAAGGAGAATTCGACTTGCAACCCCAAATGCCAACCTACAACCTCCGCTCCTCCTGGCAAACAATTGGCTCAATTTGCAATGCTCTTTTGCTTGCTAGAGATCAAGGTCTTATTTACGGAATTGCCTATGTGATTTTAGCCAAAATTAAAAGATAAATTTTTAGGGAAAGTTTGTCATGTCAAGTCAGTCCATTATTTTGTAAAGGTTATCAATTCATGGAAGTTATATATTGTATACCATTTTTTCAATCTATTAATTTTAGGCACTCTATTCTTATTTGCTTTAAAACATTTACAATTCTAAAAAGAAAAAGTACCAAGCGAAGAGATGTGATTTCTAAATCCTGGGTTTAAATTCAGGATAATTTCAAAGAATTTCAAATTGGCACCTTTTTCTAGAATAAGGCAACACAAAGAAATGTAGCCTTGACTCACAAAGTAGAAAGAGAATCTGGCATCTTAAACAATAGAATCCCAACCTACCAGCTCAAATGTAGCTGAAATTATTATTAAATAGCTTGAGGAAATGATTAACTAATAAGTAACGGAGGGTTGGAGAAGGACGTGGCTTCTGAAGGTAATTTTAGTTTGTTTAGCTTTTATTTCTACTCCTGAGACAGGAAAGGTCATGGGAAAAAGACAGGACAGTACTCAAGGATAAAATTGCTCAAAATGGTGCTGTTCCCATGGGCTGATAAACAAAAAGCTGATGACTCTAGATCTGGACACCCCCTGCCATAAATTTCCTTGGCCCTTTGTTTTTTATTACCAGTTTCCCCCGGTTTGAGCATTGCTGAGGTCTCTTCCCACAGCTTATCAAATTGGCTGCTATGGGGAAAGGGATATTACAGACCCAGAAGAGTCACAGCCTTTGAGACCTGACCTGGAGCTACAGACACACAACCTCCATGAGCTGCTCACCTTGGAGCCCATCACAAGCTGCAGCTGAGGGGGGCTCACAATTAGCAACAGCAAATGGACTGCACTGAGATGGACAAATGGAGTTGAGCCAAATCCACTCTCCTTGCTTTCTCTGCCAGGAAAGTGTAATTCCTTTGTTCTCAAACCCCAGCCCTAAAACCTATATGCACTCCTATCCCTGGCACCTCGGGGAGTCTCTCATGCCCAGAGAGGCCTCCCCTGAGTACTCTTCCTGGCTCTTTCGCTAATCAATAAACACTGACACCCTCCTTGCCTGCCCTCAGCAGTATCTGTGGAGCCCTCTTTTCAAACTTGACCAGAAGCTCATAAGATCCCTTCTCAATTTGGGAGCAGGGCCCCTCCATCCATCCCTCTGGCTCCTGGCAGGTGGAACAGCGGACAAAGGTTGGTACACTCGTAGCTTACCCACCTTTGTCGTTGGGGAGGTTGGGGTTGGGCTGGGGAACTCTGACCTGCTCCCAGGTCCAGTGATGCTTCTACTATTACTATTGTTCTTATTACACTAAAATGAATTGCAAGTATATTCTTTCTTTGTGCTTCTCCAAACAGAAGAAAATAATTTCAAGGGGATTAATACCATTTGTTCCACTATCGGGTTATGTGGTGTCAACTATAAAGTATTATGGAAAAATCTTTGGTTGAGGGCTGGAGTTACCTAGTCCCTTGAGAAGGAAGAGATGGGGAGAAGAGGTTGGTTTAGCCAGAGTGGAGTTAGAGAGCACAGAAAAATAAGCCTGCATAGGTGTTTATAAACACAAAGTTATTAATTTACCTAGGAGAATAATATAAAGACTAATAAAAATTTGACTCAATCTGGGTGTTCTTTCTTCTTCTGTAAGGAAAATGGACTTTAGAGAGCCGAAACTT